TGTACAAACAAATGTATTCGGGAAATTAATTAAACTGTCGTAATTTGAGCAGCTTTTGCCGCCCTCCCAAAGGCAATGGGGCGATCATTAAGGTATGTTTTGTACGGTGGGGAAATCAATTGGAAAGAATGGTTTAAATTGAGGTGAGAGCGAAATATATGGATTTATTTCGTATTATTTTCACGAAATGGGGCGGCAAATTTTATTCCACTGCGCGCACCACCCCCACCAATTGACCAAGTGTGGGGCGAACTTTGAAAGTTGGCTCAAAGAGAATGGAGGAAATTTGCTAGAACAATCCCCGGAAAAGTATGACGAATGTGCTCCGATTTCCAATGTGGTGCATTCCAGAGAGGTCGCGCGTGGAGGTGTGAGTTCTTTGGGGTGGATCGGTGGGGGTAGTTATTACTTAACTTGAGAATTTATTCGCGTGCAAACACATGCATACACACACACACACATACACATTTTCCATGAAAATTAATCGTCCAACTTTCCAACAAACGACATTAATTTGTTCCACTTCAGTGGCGAAATAACGGCCAACATCGCGATATATATATTCCCCGATCCGGAAGGGCACCATCCCCTCAGCCCACGGGTTTTTTTTTGCTCGAGAGGAGGAGAAGGAATGGGCATGTATGCGAGGAAAATCTCAACTTTAGAAAAATTTTCACACGATGTCCTTTCCCATGAGCGCAGAAAAAGAGCAAAAAGAATATCTCCCGAAGGAGGTGGAAAGTGGGAATTTTTCCCAAGAGAAATTTCCACCAGTTTCAATTGAATTTCTCTAAAGAATTAGTACAAAACAGAAACTTTTCTCGCACGGAGAAGAATGGAGCACTTGTGCTATGATATGATGCGATATGGAGGAGCAAAATAAATGTGATCAACATAGCAGTTTATATATGTTTTTAATGCTATTCCGGGGATAAAAAAAATGATTGTAAATGCTACTATTTCCTCCCGGAATTGCACATTGAGTTGCAACACAGTCGCAGTATTATGACAAACAAATAGAAAACTCCAATCAAAAACAAGTTCATTCCGCATACAAAATGCATCCGAGGGCTGATATGTGAGAAATGTGAGAGGTAAAAAAGTCAATTAAAAACTTTTTTTTTTAATAAACTCCGTAAAATATTTTTAATAAAACAGTCTGCGTATTGATAGAATTACACCAAACAGGCTCACCAGAGAGTGGCAATGACAATCCCCCGTGCGCGCAAAAACTCCCGAAAAACTTTCATTCATCCCAGGCCAGATAAAAGCTCAACCGTGACTGGGGATGTCCTGAAAAATTCCATCCCTAGCTTTTGCAATGAATCCTCCTCCCCCACCCACACACCCACACACACACACCATCCATCGTCATTCTATGCACTGCGGAAATCGACGAAGAGTTTGCAATAAATTTTAATATTTCCACCCAAACTCCCGCTCTTTCACAGCTCCTGCACAGTGTGAATTTCTGTCATGCCACTCCCCCACCCCCTCCCCCTCTTCCGCAGGGGGGAGAACCACTCTGCTGGGGCCGTATTTTCGAAACTTTCCCCGAGGATCGCATATTAAAAATTCTTTTTTGAGCAAAACTCTCGCGCAGAGACACTTTGAACTTGTCCCCCATCCGCGCCTTATCACAATTTTCATTTAGAGAATTTTCCACTTTTTTCCATTCTCTCTCTCTCTCGCTCACACTTTCACGTGAAAAAACACCCCCCGCAACGCGAAATCATCACTATTTCATTTTATCATACATCGGACGTATTATAAAATAAAATAAAGTGACTTCTCCCAGTATTTAATAAATTTCTCCCAAAGTTTTATTAATTTCCTGTTGTAGCAGACGCTCTCCAGAGGGCGAGAGACGCGCGCGCGGGTGAGTTTTGGCGAAGAGAGAAACTTTTTCGTGTTCACGCTGCTGGTAAGTTTTCCCAACCTCCCCCGCCCCCACCCCCCAAATCCTCTCCACGTATATCGCTCATATTTTTACACTTTTCAACTGTTCAACTTCCATCGGCCCGTCGAATTGATAAAAATGCTCCACTTGTACTCCATGGATCTTTTTTTTTTTATTCCATTTCATGCGCGATATTATTAATTAAATGTGCTGTCAATTGACTTTTCTTTGTACTCCAACTCAATTGAACTGCAATTCTGTGGTGGAATTTTGTCAAAATTCAATTTAATCCCATGACTTTTTCCCACCTCACAAACATATCATTGTGCAATTGATCATGTTTTCCAACAATTATGGTTTTTTTGCCAATTTTAAAGTGTATTTTCAGCTCTTTTAGCTCAAATTACACAAAATTCGCCACTACTTTTGCCCAATAATTTTCCATTATCACTTTTTTTTTCGGCAAATAAAAAAACAAGAAAAAAACATCACAAGATTAGCCTCGGCATATTGCACAACTCAAACAGAGTATTGAATTTATTGATTCGATATGGAAAATTAAGCTGAATTGTGCTGAAATTGGAATTGAAAATGCGAAATTGATTTCAGTGTTTATCATTTTGCCGTTAAGTATAATCCCTTTGTTTGCAGCGAGAAGTTCTAAGAATTGTGGAAAATGCCAAAGAAGACAAAGTCACACAAATGCTAATTGAAATTCACCCACAAATTGGGTGATATTTTATCAATGTGAAAAGTGTTTTCACTGTCATCTCTTAATTCATTCCAAAGTTGGTTTTTCATCGTCGTCGTCGTCGTTTTTGTGTAATGGTTGAATGCAAAGTTTTCCGCTTAATTCATGTTTTCGATTGCATTTTCTGCAGAAGCTGTACAAATTACCCCTTCCACCCACAGTTTCACTCTTCACTACTCAAGCTGGCAATAGACATTCTGCTGAGTTGGTCGAGGAAACGAGGCACAAAATATATATTTTCGTGTCTTTAAAATTAACAGTGGAAATTCATGCAATGGTCGAGAAGAAGAGGGAAAAATTGTCTGTTTGTGTGTGTGTGTGTATGTTATTTTCCTGGGAGTTTTCACCATTTTCTCTCTGTCACTGTGGTAAAATAAATATTTTCATCTCTTGAAACATTTCATAAAATATATTACTCTGTCGTCTTCCAGCAAAAACCCATTTTGCGTGCCATTCCACATTGCCAGGGCCGAAGAGTGAAATTCTATCTCGACGTTTTGGCCTCTGACACTTGATATTTCACCACTTGCGAAAAGCTTTTAAGACCGTCCAAACAGTCAATTAAAGTATCTGGAATATCAATTAAAATTGCTTCACTTTCGCGCGACTCAAATGACTTTCTTCCGCTTGCGCGCCAGCAAAAAAAAAGTTCTCTCTGCCAAAATAAAGCATTAAAAAACTCCCCAACTATTTTAACGAAGATTTCACCTCTCATATAAATAACGCATCACTTCTCATTTGCATTGCCTTGTCCAAAATGTTCATTGCAGCGCAAAAATTCCCAGTCAACCAATTAAAATTGTCAAGATTTCTTCTGTTCTTACTGCCACTCATGGGAAATTTCCCGTACGTCGCGCATTCGGTCACAGAGAGATTTTTTCCATTTGAAGAAATGCGAAACATTTTTTTCCTGCCTCTTTCCCTTTCACAGCATTTCAACATTACAAATGTCTTTCTATATGCCACGAAAAGTATGGTGAAAAAAAAATTCTGGGACATTTTAGAGGTTCTCGACTTCTTTTTTCTTTCACTCGCGCTAAATTTTTCTTCTTTTCTCTCCACATTTTCATTCTGTGGCCAAGAGAATGAAGAAAAATCCCCAAATTGACTCTCGTGAGGATTTCTATTTTCACTCATTGTGAGAATTTTTGCGAAATGCTTCATTTGTAGATGTTGTATTTCTCTACTATACAGAATTATTATTATGCTTGTATAATGTGGAATATTTTTAGGAAAATCATATTCTCATTGTTCTTTTTTCTCCAAACACGAAGTGACGCCAACGAAAAGGCTCCTAATAATATCCTTGATTTCAGTGAAATTTCGTACAGTGTTAAATATTCAGGTCTTTGTTTGAATGCGGGATATTTTGGTGATAATGAAAAACTGTATAGAAAATTCATTGACATGTATCTAAATTGAAAAGGTCACGTAAGAATATCCTGTCGAGACACAATAATTTGTCAATTATACCCATAATGAAACCTGATTTAAAAGAAGGTTTAATTATAGAGTTCTTATTAAATGTATCAAAAATTTAGGTCAAAACTAAGAAAAAAATTATTTTCAAGAAACTGCTTTGCATATAAATTAGAAGAAAATGAATTTTTTCATAGTTTAAATTAACCTATTTATGCATAGAAATTTCATATTCTATGCTATTAAGTTTTTAAGAAAATCCCCAAAAATAATAAATTTTGCGAACTAGTACGAAATGAATTGCGTTCAATTTGCTTTTAAATCGAATGAAAATAGTCTAATTTTAGTGACTAAAACACGAATTAATCCACAAAATAGAGGTTAAATCGAGAAAAAATAGTAAAGATCACTTTTTTAAATTTCGACGCTATCACTTCAGGTGTGCAAACTCCCTTAGAATTTTGGTCTTTTGTGCACAAAAACCTTTCAACAATTGGAAAATTAATATAAAAAGGGCGCCAAGCCTCAAAAATAAACCTCACAGCGACTTTACCCTTCAAAATGCGTCAAAACCATCGTGCGACCCTCGTTTTTGTGTGTGGAAACGCGGCCTGAGTGGTTCGGCGAACTGCAATTGCATGTGACTGACGCTTTAGATGTTTGATGCAACCAAAGGGAGTCACTCTCTTTGACTGTTTCTCGCACAAAAAAAGCGAACTCCGAGAAGCCAAATTATCCAGGTAGATGAATTTGAGGGAATGAGAAGCGCCCTTATTGATTTTATTGCAAAAAATTACCATTTTATTGCTCAAGTGGATGCGATTTGTGTGAGAAAGTTCCTCTGACAGGAGGGATGAAGTCACACACAACACACACACACGCGCGTGTTCGGCTGAAAAATGTTGAATGAAAGACAGAGTGTGTTTTTACCTTGAAATTTCCGCAACACTTAGCCGCCATTATCCCATAGAAGAGCTTCGAGGGGTGTAACAGAAATTATGCGGGGAAAGAAAAATAAACACGGCACTCACTGTCGGCTATAAAAATTAATACAATCGATCAGTGCAGTTTTTCATTGAAATTCTCTCCTCATTTACTTTACAATTCCCACTATCATTTCTCTCTGTCACTCACTGCAGACTGTTCTTTGGGAATATTTCCTCGCTATAATCAATAAAATCTCTTTCTCTCTCTCGCGTATCTTTATCAATTAGCTGTCTATCCCACTCCCGCTGACTGGCGGCCCGATAGTTCTCACCCGCTCTCACGCACACGCCAGAAGATTCCCGCAAGCTGTCACTTTGCCGCGGATGTTTTTCACACAAGAAAAACCACTTTCAGCACAAAATCACACGGGATTTGTCTCAAGCAGCACGCCCGGGGGGCCTGGTCTGGGCCACAGAGGAATTCTTGTGGGACTCCTCTTCGGCAGCTTCTGCCCGTGGACTCAAATCTCTCCTAAGGATGTCTCCTTTCTCACCCTCTCTGTCTCTATCTCTGTCTCTCTCTCTCTTGGCTCAGTCGTCTCCCACGAGCAGTAGGACACTTCCATACACCTCGACTGACTTGCACTGACTGAACGTGTCTCAACAAGACGCGCACACATCTGCTCTGCAGAGGCATCTGCAGGCTTGCCTGCAGATCCCACTCTCCACCCGAAGTGGTGAATTGGCCACCAGCGACCTCTGCCACAAACAGCCGAGGCACAGTCGATTGTCACTTTTGCCAACATCGCGGCGAACGCGCCTTTTCTTCTGCGAACCGCGCATTTGCTGAATCCGTCGCTTTTTGCCACTGAAATACAGTTTTTGCAATATCATGGAATTTCACACTTGAATTATTTACAAATCAGCTCCAATTGCATACAAAAAAAGACGTGCGAATTAGTTGACAATTCAATTAAAAGGACAAGATCAGCTTGTACAACTTGTGAAAGCGAGATTAATAGAATTCGCACAGAACTTCCACGTTTTTAAAGCACTTGTAATATACAGTAGAACCTCGATTAACTGCTGCAGTGTTTATCACAGACTTACAAAAAATCGTGTCACTTTTCCACGACTTTTGAGGAAGAACTTTTCGCAGAAGGACATTTTCAGAGTTCAGAATGCCAAATATATTCTTAATTTCCATTTTATATGTGAAAAATATTGGTCAATATCATATAAAAGAATATGTATTTGTTTTTTACTTATTTGCGATATGCAAATTCTTAAAATTCGCAAAGAGAAGTTTCTTGTCATTTCCCTTTAATTCTGAATAACTTAGCATTGCTCTCATAGTTGGTTCATTGCCAAAGACATGGTCAAAGATGTTATTCTGTATGTAAATTCCCTCCAATAAAGCATACCAAATCCACCAATGACTGACCCTTTCTTCACTTCCTTATCACAATTGCTCAAGTTATTTCAACTCCGTTTTAAGTGCCACATTTTCACAAATCATTATTTTTTACCACTTCTAAACTAAAATGACTCTGACTTAGGAAAACCATTCAATCTTCTATTAAATAACAGATTATCTTGCAGATTATTGACTGATTGCTTCTAAGGCAGATGATTCAATGGATTTTTTTGCGCTTGACTTCAATTGTGAATGAATTTCACAAGTGTGTAAAGTCCAATAAACTCCCGGAATGAATCTTCCTTTGGGGAACTTCCACGCGCCACAGAATTACTAATTCAAGCAGTTTCGCCAAGAATTATGACAATTCATTTGTAAAGATGTTTACCAAAAGTGCATCAACAAATGCTCCGATGGAAATTTCCATGGAGAGAAGAATCTTCACAAAAGGATACTCACAAGAATGTTGTGTGCTTAAGCCGCTCTCATATCGCATCTGAATATGTAAAAGTCCTTCAATGTAATTCTCAAATTTATTTCAATCAAAATAATTCATTTCCGCATCAATTTCTTGAGCAATTGAATTTTGTCACCCAATCAAAGTTACTTAAACGACTGATAATCTCTAATTTATTTGAATTCTTCTTTTCTAATTCAACACAAATTATCATTTCACTAATTCGTCAAACAAGGTCTCCAATTTATCTTCTCAGCATAGATTAATTTTCCAATTTCGGCAATTATCACAAGTACTTATCGCAAGGAAAAAGTGTCATTGAAAATGCTCAATCTCACGAAGACCACGAAGACGTTGGACTGAATGCGACAAGGAGAAAAAAGCGCGAGTCTGCTGACTGAGGTCAATTGCGGTGCAAAAATTGCGACGCATCTGTGAATTTCATGGCAATTTCTTCACTTTCCCAAGGCGAGATAAAAAGAAGGAACACACCCAGTGAGTCTCACGAGGAAGTTGCCGAAGAGATGCCCTTGGTAGAGCACTGCGTGCAATATTGTGCATAATGCGACTGAGTTCTATAATTGCAGAGGAAATCGTGACTTAGATTCTTTGTGAAACCACTGAAGAAAATCAGTGCAAAAGCCTAAAGAACATTTTTCAAATTGGTGACCAAAATATCTAAGGAAATGCATTGAATATAAATTGGAATTACTTCGACATTTCGGGTATAATCTTTAAAATAAAACTGAGATTGTTTTACAATAAATTGTCTGTAAAATTTCAATCTAATAAGAATGAATAGAAATTCCCAAATGATTCTCATTTGAGGAGAAAAACGACGGAAAAATTCCCTGCAATCGAATATCTTTCTCCCCAAGTCGCGCCGTCCGATCGCGGTTCTGGCGGGGCGTGAGGTGCAAGATCGCGGTTGCTTACCTGACCACCAAGTTAATAAATTCGCGATTTCTGCCGTGTGTTCAGTTCCACTGCGACTCAAGACTCGATCGGATCGCGATTTTTGTCCACACGTCTTCACCCTCTAAATTTATCCACATATTGTGTCTTCTGGAGTTTTTTCCTTAAAGTCATAAGACGGGAAAGGAGAGAAAATCTATAACTGTGCCAGTGATTTTTCGTTTAATTTTCCTGCTTGTGAAAAAAAGTCCAAGATCATATAGAGAAGATCAAAGAAGCCTTTTTTTCTTTTCGACCATTGAAGATCGGGGTGGCAGAAAAACCGAAGGCAATCCGTGGAAACCTTCAGTGTCAAGATAATTCAATGGATTATTAATTTCACTCTGTGATCATCAGCAAATCTTGTGGCCATCACATTTCTACTCACCTTCCTCAATTCAGGAGAGAAATTTCACGCAATTTAGTGCTGAGAGAGAAAAAAAAAACGACGCAGAATTATTGCCGAAGAAGACTCTTTTGAATAATTTTATTCATTTTGTGTGATTTTAACAGATTAATTCAGGGGGAGCAATAAAATGGTAAGTGATAATTGTTGACCCAAAGAATGTGGTGAGGTTTTCTGGCAAAGATCAAAACTCTTCTCCCACTGAAATTGCCCATAAACTCCGATTGAAAATGACACTGAAAAGTTATCTAATAGTGGCTCACAGGTGTGCTTGAAGGAACCAGATTTTGAGTCGCCAAATGACGAAGATTCTCCTTATGTATAATTTGCCCCGAAAACGCGCTGAAAGACAATAAGAATTTCAGGAGAAAAGAGACTCGTTTTCACGACATTCCAACCAAAAGTTAGAGACAAAATCTACGCATATTATAATGCTGTAACATCCGGAATATCCTATTAGGTGAATTTTTCCTTGAAATATCCAACAACAATTGTGTGAATTTTTACTACCCCACATAAATTGTGCACTAAACTGCTCTTTAGCCACAGTTTGTGAGTACAGAGATAAATTCCCGTGATAAAAGTCATGGAAGTTGGCTGAAAAATTGCTGTAGCATTAGATCTGGTGACGATAAATTTGTCAGCAGTAAAATTAAAATGAAATATTTGCTCTCTGGAAGAGTTATGCAAGTGTAAAAGTGAGACTTTTCGGTGCCCCGGAAGGTGACCAAGAGGTGAGCAAATTGTGTCAAATTGACGCGACACAAAAGGCCGCAGTTTCCCGGGCTAAGAGACGTGATACAGTTTCGGAGTGGATAAGAGAGAAAATATTGCAGTCTCGCGAGGGGTGAACAACTCCATAAGAAATGTTCAAGAGTTTTATAGTAAATTTGTGTCCAATTTTAGTTTGTTCTACAGTGAATTGAATTGTGCGACAGAAGAAAGTTAATAGGACGCAAATGCTTTAATTGTGCGTGTTGTTCACCCCCGGATTTTTGTCGCTTATTCGGCACAAAGCTATGTACTTTGTCCACATTGAGTTAAATAGCTTGAAAAATAGAATGGAGGCGATGGAAAAGAAGTATAAACACTTTAATTCCATAATAAATTGACTCATAAAGAAGGTGTATTTATTATAATGACTTCTTGTGCACTTTTCTTCTCTCTTTATGCAATTGGTGACCGTTGCTAGAAAATACATACACTGTGTTCGGAATTAATAAATCCCTAATGAGACACTATGCATGATGCTAAAGATACATTTGCGTGGGCTTAATTTCCGTTCAAAAGCATTTTTCCACAAGTCACAAGTGGAAACACACTTTTGTTAATATCGTGACGAAGAAGAGTCTGATTCTGTTAGGGTTTCAAGTGCAACAGTTGCACTTTGCCAGCCATACAACTTCCCTGAGTGAGCAACATTCCTCTCTCCCTGCCTCATTGCACATTATGATATGGCTTTAAATTACCAATTCAAATCAATTAGTGACGTGACAAGTATGCTTGTATTGTCATTAGATCACAAACACACTTCTTCGTGTGATATTAATAGAGAAAATTAAAGATGGAAAAAACTTGTTCACTCTCTTGTCTCTCAGAACTGAGCATTTAATCGGCGTCCGCACACTCAAAATGAAGTGTATGAAGTGTTGTTGCATTCGCCCCTCGGGCGATGGGAAATGGTTGTGATTGACGGCCAGTTGAAGATGGAGTTTTCAATTACAAATTTTCATGTCACGAAGATGTGATGTGCGGGAGAAAATCAGCAAAACATGTTGGAAATTTCCAACTCTGTGATAAAGGTCAAGATCAACTGTGTTGATTCATACAGTCTAAGAATTGAGTCAACTTTCCTGGCATTTTTTTTTCATCTGTGATCACAACTCTACGCATAATCACAGAAGGTCAATGGACTAATCCGGAGGGAAGCTGAGATAGAGAGATTAAGCTTTCAATGGAAATCCCAGCAGTAGAACTTTGATTAATCACATGGCATAAAACGATAACAGTTGAGCTATTTTTCTCAATTCCTATGAGTGTTAGAAAAGATTGCAATTCACAGTAAGATTGTTATGCATGCCAAAATAGTCAGTCTCCATTCTGAAAAAAAATATCAAGATAGAATTTATAAAAATTGAAGCAATACCAATAAATCACACACCCATTCACGAAGACTGGGAGTGAAAAGTGCAAATTTCAGCAAATGCGAAAATGGAGTTTACTTGTAGGAAATTGGGGACAATGTGAAAACTCACAAACACTAATTAGAACATTTTCATTATTGTTGACTACAGCATTTTTTCACTGTGTTTGCTTTCGCGAAAAACCCCACTCGGCTGAGGACATGAAAGTGGGATATGGTCTCTATGGGGGAAAAATATAGTAATTAGAAGGTGCACACACACTTTGCGCGATGCCAGCTGATATAATTGTGGGAATGATGGGGGGACAATAGGGCGAAGAAATCCATCGGAACTCAAGTTGATGGTGAAAAAATGCAAAATTATTCACTCAACACTGACCTAAGCGAATCGTGAGAAATTTTTGGGCACGAGACAAAAATCCATAGCCACACTTGTGCATAATATAATCAATTGGATGGGAGGGAATTATATTTCTTAATTGTTTTTCTTGTAATGCAAATTTATTATTCATGCGAATTTTGTCACTGTGCGTGGAGGGTTTTTTGAACACACATTTTCGCAGGAATAAAAAATCACCACACAGCACGACACTTGCAATTATTGTTCAATCTCACGCACATTTCTTGTCGGAGCGTTTTGTAAGGTTTCCATTGGAGCACAGTTAGTGGGAAATGCTTTTCTCTCTCTCTGTCTATCTCTTATTGGTAATCGTGTAGAACTTCCCGGAAAAGTGTGGGCAATATTGACGATTGTGGAATAAATTATCCATAAATCTGCCACGATTCATCTGATGCATCTTCACTTGTCACGAAATTGTGGGGGGAATTTTTCTGCACTTTTGACGTGTTCCGCCAATAAATTCTAATCTGCGGATAAATCTTATGAGAAGGTTGATGACGATTTGGTATTCTCAAGTCTGGTGCGCGGAATTCCATCAATTTAAAGACACTGTATGGCGGAATTAAATGCCATGATATTGACATGGAAAGGTGCCTCATGTTTTCATTCATTTTCCACAAATTCACACACTCACGACGCGACCGCCAAGAATGGGTCAAAGGTGAATCGCATCGCAAAAATACCGGAGAATTCTTTCCCCTCGTGCAAATTTCCATTGGAAATTGACACTTTTCCCTCTCTTCTCTCCCCCTGCATCCCCAAGAATTTTTCCTTTGACTCACGTTAATTGTCTCTACACAGTGTGCGCGTGAAGGCGAAGAAATAAAGAAAAAAAAGCCACACAGACAATAGAGGAAAAATTCTTGTTCCGAGAAAAACACTCTTTGTCTCTTTGGTAGTTGAGAAATCTTCCTCACAACTGGGAAGCACAGTTGAGAAATTGAGAGCAAAAGGGGAGTTTTTTAATAGTTTCTGCTTTGCTGCCACTTGCAAAGATTGCAAGAGTCGAGAAGTAATTAGTTGAAACCATGTAATTTGAACAATAAAATTTATGGAAAACAATTCGCCTGACATGATTTTCGCATGACAAACTGCCAGGTAAAATGTATATATGGAAATATTGGGAAATTTCGGGAGGAAATTCTTCTTCAGAACTCATTTGCTCAACAAATTATTCACTTTTGTTATCCATTTCACTCATAAATTACGTCTTCATCACTTGTGTTTCATTGAATGATTAATTGAGCGTTTATTAAGGTACCGCCATAAAATTGTTGCTACTGAAAACACCGTGATTTTTATGGCGAAATTAAGTCAATGAGGTTGAAATGTAAAAATCTTCGGCAAAATACACTTATAAATATGCATTAACATTGAGAAATGAGTGAATAATTGTTCTCGGCATTAATTAAATGGTTTATTCACAAATACTTGAGTGTATCATCAATCTAGTGACGCTTTTACAATGAATAAATTATTAGATTATATGGTAATGTTTTTTTTTAGAAGATGTGCTTGTACATTATAGAGAATTTATTCATCTTCTTCACGTTTTTCACGCACCTGAGATTCTTAGGAACAATTGTAAGATAAAAATAGTTTTTTTTTCCCCATGTGGAGACATTATTAACTTATTGACCTACAAAAGAGCTTTCTCAACCCGAACACAATCTACACGTGTCGGTGTAATTGAGCCAATTGAAATTTACAATAAATTGCTTCGAAGATACTTTTGCAGTTTGTTTCCACATTTCAAATGATGAAATATGATAATTTCCCACAAATAATTTAGAGAGAGAGAGACGCTTTTTTTTATCTCGTCGCCAAAATATTCCTGCAGTGGCGAAAAGCACAAGAAAAAAGAGATGAGAAATTAATTAAATTTAGTGATCCGGCTGGAAAATGCGTCGTCGCAGACACAGAGGAGTAATTAACGACATACTTCCGTCTCCGACGCTCTATTTGGATATGGCAAACATTTTGGGAATTTTGAGAATTTCTCAGACCACACATTAGCCATTCACAAATGTCATCACACCAGAAGATTTAATATTTGTCAACTCTTTGGTCACTGCTTGTAATTTTGTGCTCCACGAGCAGAATTTCTCTCCCCCAGAAAAGTGACTGAATTATTTGTCTGCGGTGGACAAAATTTGTCTCCCAAATGAAGTCCAGAGCTTTCAAATTTATTCGCTATATATTTAGAGACAGAAAGTCGAGTTTCAAACGCAAATAGAACAACAGAAAGTACTCAAAAAATCGATATTGTTATCACTGTCATTGACCTTGGATTTAATTCTGCGAATGAACAGATGTGAAACCACTTTTAACAATGAGATAATTATATGATAAAGTCAGTGTTTTCCCATCATTCGACCGAAGATGTCTATTACATGTGAGAAAGTGCCACCAAGTGAGACTTCCAAGAGAGTGTCATATGTTGAGGAAACGCACTTCATCCGCGTGAGAAACACCGAAATCCCAGACAATATTCCAATAATTGAGAAGTGCTGGACAGATGGCTTCAGCTTTCCGGCAAATGTTGAGAAATACATTGAGCAAATGTACAATTTCCAAGTACGTCCGGATGACGTCTGGTTAATTACCTTTCCCAAGTGTGGTTGCACATGGTCTCAAGAATTGGTGTGGCAGATTTGCAATGACATCAAATTAGATACGGATCTTCGTCTCGTGAAGAAATATCCCTTCCTCGAGTAAGTTTGCTCAAAATTGAGACACCTTCAAGTATCTCATGTTCTGCACATTCTCAGGCATGGATGTCTTTGGAAGACTTGGTCGCAGAATCCCAAACTAAATTTTTTGACTGCCCTGGAGAATATGCCATCGCCGAGATTCATAAAGACTCACCTTCCGGCCGCGCTTCTTCCCAAGGATATTTGGAGAGTGAGACCAAAAATTGTCTTCGTCGCCAGAAATGCCAAAGACGTCATCACTTCTTACTACCATCACTACAGAGCCATCCCGAAATTCTCAGGGACATTTTCCGACTTTACTGATCTCTTTATGGAAAATCGCAGTAAGAATAGTCTCAAGAAAAAATTGAATATTTCATGCTTACACGACAATTGTGCCTTTCAGTCAATTACACCCCCTATTGTTCTCATATTTTGAATTTCTGGACTCTGAGAAACGAGGAAAATGTTCTCTTTCTCACATTCGAAGACATGAAGAACGATTATCCGAGTGTCATTGAAAGAACAGCAAAATTCTTCGGAAAATCCTTAACAGAACAACAAATCATTGACCTCACAGATCATCAATCGTTTGAAAAGTTCTCCAGTGAGTAACTGAAAGTTTGACAAATTCTACGAACTCAATATTGATCTCTTCTTCAGAGAATCCTCTTGTGAATTATGAGGAGGAGATGCGCCACTTGGACAAGGAGTCCAAAGGAAATGCCAATGACTTCCGCTTTGTGAGAAAAGGCAAAGTCAACTCATTTAAGGATGAAATGCCACCTGGAATGATTTACAAAATTAATCTCTGGCTTGAGCAACAATTGGGAAATCTGAAGAATAATCCAGAAATTCGGAGAATATTCTTCAATGAATAGAACAGACAACATTGTTTTACTAAAATACATATAGAGCTTCACGTTTTGTTCAACATGGAGAGCTTTGATTTTCCGTAATGTGAGCTTTTCAGAAGTAGGCAAATATGAAATTACGATTTACACACAAAAGTGAAACATATTCCTCACGTACAAATAAGGATTCTGTGCAAATAATTGTGGCAAACATGTAAATGCACACGTAATATAAAGTATCATGTATTATTTTCTGGCGATGAAGAGAGAAATTGAGAATTAAAAACACCCAGAAACCATTTCACATATTATTTATCAAAATTAATTAATCAATGAAACACGGAGGAAGGTTCAAACTGATGTCTAGAAAAATGAAGATAGATAAATTTTCATAATAACGACAATATAATTATATCTTCCTTACAATTCACCAACTCAGGTTAATCTCTGTTGCCAGTCTGAGAGTAAATCATTTGAGTCTCCCCAACCCTTTGGCCATTCATCCGCGGAATATCTGCAGGCTTCTGAGGTAGACGGAAAATTGCGCTGACGAGGAACACTGCCCAGAACCTCTCTCTATGTTTGATGTTGGCGTATTTTGCCTACATATTCAAATCTCCTGGCATTCCAAAAGCTTCTCTTCAATTTCGCTAATTCACATTCATTCCACTCAAGTGGCTTTCGTCAGTAATTTAGCCAACACACCGCTTTAGGAAGCAATCTCGCATTGACCACACACTAAACCAGACACATTTCCGAGGTCCACAGAGGATTTTCCTCATTTTCCAAACCGCGACAGTATATATACTTTTTGCGAAAACATACAATATTTGGGTTACACTTTTGAGGTGAAATCCATTCCACCGCAAAATTATCTTTCCTGAAATCAGATTTACGACAAGAAAAGTGGGAAATTGGAGTTGCATTTCCTCCACAAAAGAGCCTCAATTGACAGGAAAACGTGTAAATATTCTCTAAAATCAATTTTACCACGCTTAAATGCCTCATTAGTGGCAAGCACACTAATGAAATTACCAAATTAACACATTCTTTCAATGGAAATGATGGAGAGCAAGAGTTTTTGGTCCAGTAGAAAAGAGACTCGGTAAATTGGTTTAGATTGCCTCACTCGACATTTGCAACAAGAGCGGCCCCTTTCAATCCATCATCATTTCGCGAGTGCAGAAATTAATGGCCTTTTTTTGTTGATGAGCACAAAGCACCCAGAAAGGTGCAAAAAGATGGCATTCTTGCTATTGATTGAAACTGATCTCATGTCAATTCGGCACAGTCGAAAGCCGAAGGAGTGAATTTGTGGTTAATTAGAGAAACAAGAAATATTTTAACATAATCATGTCAAGGCCGCCCTTCGATCGATCATCGACTTATGCCCCCAAAATCTATGCTCCAAACATCGAAGTCGTTGAGAGTTCCTTTTCGCAAGCGTCGCGCTGAGATAACACACTGTAAGATCATTTGATAACATTCCACGGTGGACCAGTTTTTGGGTGTATTTTTTCCGAAAAAAACAAACACTTTCCATTTCCTGACTGTCTGACATTGAATATTGTCGCATAATAAATAATCGGTTGGCCATAAAAAGTGTGCCATTAGCTGGCCATAAGATAGCCAAATGGTGTGTTTCTTGTCGTGGCGCAACGCACTGCAATTAGAATTGTAAATGCTGACCACATGTCTTGGTCTCACTCGGTGATCTTGAATTTTGGATCTTATGTAATGTTGCACACATAACTGAATGTTGGATTGGAAAGTTCAATGATATCGCTGCGGAGAGTGAAAAGACACACGAAGCCAGAGACAAGAATATATATGTGATCATGCATTCTAAAGTCTATAGTAAAATTATATGCAGTCAAATCTTTCTTTTGACCACGATTTTTTAGACGTCCAATGCAAATTGATCGGAAAAAAGAGAAAAAGGACAGCATGATCATAATTGTAAATTTGAAGATCCTTTCTAATTTCCTTGATACAGTCGTAAAAATATCTCTCGACTCTCTGCTAAAAATACATTTCGGCATCAATTCAAACTCGTTCCATGCGTTATTCTCATTAATGCATTCCACATTAACACTGACGAGAGTGATCTTAATGACCTAAAAACCTATCGCAATGAAAAGCTTGACAGATAATGACGTTTTAGTAGTAATTATCTCAGGTGATAATTTGAAAAAAAAAGAACTACACATTACATGTTGTGACTGTGGCAATTAATTTGAATTGTTTCATATCTGATTGTCGACAGACTTTGCGTGTCTGAGGAGATCACCTGAAAACACAAATAATCCCACAATCTTCAGCAATTGGGGAAACTCACCTTCAGCCTTTATACGATCATCCCAAAAGCAGGTGTCGCAAGGCTCTTCCAGAGGAAGTCAATAATGCGCTGCAAGACATTGTCCATTGTTTTGTGGGTGGCGAAGATTTGCGGATAATTCCACTATTACATCGCGCTTTTTACCATCGATAATCAATTTTGTCTGATCACATACGAATCACACGTTTTGTAATCCGCGTGTGAAGCTCCCGCGCTGTGGCTTAACTTTGACTTAGCAAAAATATGCGCGAGAAGATCATCTGCTGAGAAGGTTCGATGGCGAAAGAAAATGTCAAAATTACTCCATGGGAGAGATTATTATGCAAATTTTTTTCAGTCACATTTCTTCGGGAGAGAAAAATGGCGGTTTTTCATCGATCATGCAAGACAGCTTTTGCATGATCGATGAAATGATGGGTGTTTTAGCGTGAAGATCACTAGTAGAGTTGCCTGATTACCTGACCCACCCTCAACACTGACGAAAGAACGGAGAAGTATTGCGTGACAAGTGTAAAAGAGCCGTATGATTAGAGATTTGTCATTCACTCGTGAATTGTTCGTGAAAGATGACAGTAAAAAAAATTTTATATTATAAACACTTTCTCAAGAGACCCATATATATTTCTTATGCAATCAGCAAATTGGCGTTGATTGCCACCTACGGGCAGGATTCACAGCACAAAAACGGCCCCCTTTATCTATCTTTTCAATGGACAAGGCCAACAATCGTGCGCGCGCGATCGCTTTGAGAAAGCTTCTGTTTTGTCTCCATCTTCGTTTTTCTCCATCCAACACACTCAACCTCCTTCTGATTCTTCTTGCACTTGCAACATCCCAAACAATGACTCTGAGCAAATTGATCCGATCCACAGGAAAAAAAGAGTGATGACAAATTGATCGATTAGGCAGCTCCATCAGTCGAAATCACGGTGATCATGGGTGATCATTGATCTCTGTATAGAAATGTGACGGGATCGCCCTTGAAGGTCTCAAACTAATTCTAGTACGGGAAATGAAGACAAATTTTCCGCACTTCCACATTGACGATCGCTGAACTCCCCCTCCAAACCGAAAAGGCGACCAAACTTTGCCATCCAAGACCCAAACAAGTCGATCAGCACAGAGTATTCGAGTGCCAAGTGTCTCAATGGTCAGTTGAAAATTATCTCTGCCATGACATAGAGTGTGACACCAAGTGATTGTTAACTTGTGATTATTTGACACGGTGGATTTTATGAATGAGTAGCTGAAAGAGGCGAAAAAGACCCAAATTCCCGTGGCAGAAGATCATCCAGCGCACAAAAACGCTGCATAACTTCCAATTACTAATTAAGTAATTAAATTTCATTTACACCTTCTCATAAATTCGTCTTGTGTGTTTAGTAATTCAAACAGTGCCAAAACAACTCCGGTTGAATAGCTAATCACTCATTAAATTTGCTCATCATTTTTCATACTTCCCCCCTCGAAAAAAACTAATTTTGCCATCGCGATTGTTCAAATACACACAAGAGAGTGTGCTCAAACAATCTTATTTGCATTCCTCTGTCCACAAAACACCGTCTCGGAACAGTTCCAGAGCGATTTTAAAGTGATCTTCGAGTGATTGGTGATTACACAGTGAAATTTGGCAAAGAGAAAATATTTCGGGAATTCCCTGGAAATTTCTACCTGTGCTCTTGTAATTATTCCCTTGTGAAATTGTCCCTTAACAGTTCGTCTCTAATTACGAAAATCTCACTATTCTGTCAAAATATACGCAATAACATCTGGGAGAAGAATTAATTTTTGATAATTATTTGTCTTTTAAATTAAATGTAAATCTTTTGTCATTCAACTAATGGATTTTTCGGAGAAATATGAGCAATGATTTGTCTTTGCCAGTGAAATATAATAATATGAGCTGTGGTTTATTGAAATGTGCGTTATCAAGGTGATTTCACGTGTTGTTGACCAAGATATTTATAAAACAACGCATTTACAGCTCATTATTGACCAGTGAGATAAAATTTTCGAATTTAAATATTTCAAATTAAAAATACAATATTGGTAAATTGATAATCTGTGATTTGCCCCAAAAATCAAAGCAATGCCAAGAAGAATGCTAATAAGTATCAAAGAAATCACGAAAAACAATTTTCGTCAATCTATTTACATTTCTGATTGGCAAATTGAGAAAAAAAACCGCATGAATTTCACTTACACGTGTTTTCTATGCCAAATCAGTTCAGTCTTCATGCTCAACTTTGATTGCAATTAATTGCGAAATTTGCTTATGATTAATTACCATCTGAATTATCATCGAAATTCCCGCCCAACGCAGATGAAATTCAATTACTCGAGCAGGTTGAGTGCTCCAAAATTCGGTCACGAGTTGAAGTAAGAGGAAATTATTAGAACAGTGGAAGGTCTGTTGCAACTCTGCGTTTCTCAGCATAATCGCCGAGATGAATGATCAACAAATTCTCACCTTGCGTCACACTTCCACGACGGTCTCCTTCCCAAACACCCAAAAGATCAGCATCACCTTGTGAGTCGCAGTTGGACTTGCCGGAATACATTATGACTATAGCCAGAGACCTCGACGGTGCTCCTCTGCACGCGCAGCTTTTCTACATGACCATAAAAGCTCCCTCTCGCGTGTGCAGATATAAAAATATAAAAAAATACAGTGATCAATAATTTTTCGGGGAATTTTGACCAAAAATCACAAACGCTCGTTTTCTTATAGGACCAATCTTTTATGCTTTCGCTAATCTTCTTCAGCGAGAAAGATCACTGAACGCTCTCAGTCTCCATGTGACCCAGACTAGTTTATTACTTTACTCTGCAAATAAGCTGAAATATTGGTAATATCCATAAATAGAGGACAGTCAGAATGGTGTGAGATTTTGCAGAATTCTCGATTCTCCTAATAAAGCTATAAAGACAAATTGTTACGAAAGATCTGTGAATTTCGCTGGCAAAGGAATTAAGAGGTGAAATTTGAGTGAAGCTTGACATGAAGAATGTCGTTTTTGACTGAAATCCGTTTCTTTACGCACTTTTTTCTGAGTTAAACCTTGAAACAACCTGAAATGTTAATGAAATATCCCACGCATAAAGTTGATAATATAGAGCAAATATTTTTTTTTATTCAAAACAAACCAAAATATCACTTCAGATAGACAGATTTATTAGAGATTTATTTGATTACTGTAAAATCTGGTGAAAAAGTAGTTTTTTTCACGTATTTTCTGCCCACATTGAGACATTGAAAATGTTCACTGAAAGTAAAATTTTTCTATATACAAAAAAATTTGTGGTAATTTTCGTAATTTTGTCATAAAACTTTGCCAGAAAGCTATGAAAGAAAATTTCTCAAAATTGTCTTTTATGTCTTTTATGAGATTTAACATGTAATTGCTTTTACCTTTTCTAGGTTGTTGTCCAGGAAATGGGATACATAGATCGAATTATTCACTTCTTTGTGGTGAATCAAGGTAAGTCCCTCACTTTTCATGTACAATCATTTTGCAAGATTCCATCATGAGAGCACATGAAGAAGAAATTAGGTAACATTAGTGGAAAACTTGACCCATGAAGCGATGTTTTTTTTTCCTGTCTCTATATATTGTTGTTGGAATATAATAAAAAACGACATGAAATTTTTTGAAAAGATTCGCGCGCGCGATATTGAAATGGACACACCTTGATGAACTTTGATGCTTCCATCAAAAGCAATAAGTTTTAGAGGCACACAGATAAAATTCATTCCCACACAGAGTTTTGCGTAGTTATAATGGCAATTTGTAATCTATTAATTGTTCACTCTTCGTGCTTATTTTGCATTCAATTACATAATTCACGTCTTCATTGATAATTCTTTCAATAGAAATCAAATGGAAAAAAATCAATATGCAAAAGCACAACAATTGTCAACTCAATATTTACAACATTACACATAAGAACGCACAATCATTCCAGTGGAACAAAACATATAGTTGAAGCCCTGAAAAGATTGCAATCAAACACATTTCCAGAGATGTTCAAGTTGCTAATTAAAAATAATCTAAAGTGCATAAATTAACCTGAAAATACTTGTAGAGAAAAGTTCTCGCAAGAATTCATCCGGTTTTTCCAATCTAAATAACATAAAGCAAAACACCGGTCTTATATTTGACCGAGTAAACTCTGCAGACAAAATAATGTCTTATTTTTTTGTACAATTGTGTCATGGTCAGCAGGAACTTTGCAATTTTCATTTTGATAGACAGACAATTGTTTCCACCGAAACCGCATTGCGATAAAAGTGTTGAATTATATGCAATAATTTGTATTTCCTGATCCATTTCGATTTATTAATAATTAGACTTTGATAAAATCTGATGGTGTTTGTGATTGGCGTATTAGTTGCTTTTGGGGTTAATTTGTACTTTCAACTTGCAATTTCTATAATTACAGCGTGCACTTTACGTGTTGTCACATAAGATTGTGAGAAAAATTGCTGTAAAATATGAAATATCACACAGAATAATGTTAACCGATTGAGTATTTGATCAAGGTTGATCATGCGACAATTGCACCTACAAGATAAGTCGATAGAATGAAAATAAACGCTCAACATTAGGAGGTTAATCAATTGAGGAAAAGCTGGTGCTTGAGAAATACATTTGGCGGAAGCATGCAAATTGGATTCAAGAGGGAAAATGGAGAGACGAAGAATATAATTAGACTTTTTAATTGAAGGTATAATCAATTTAGTGAAAACTTGCGATAAATTTGCAAGGAAGGCAGAAAAGAGCAACTTGCGCTGATAGCAAATGAATTTGATTTTCTAATCAAGTGTCTTGAACTTGCTGTGAACTCTTGGCGAAATTCAGGGACACATTTAGAATAATATATTGGCGGAAATGGTCGATTTGTAAAATTTAACACAATATGAAGATTTGAACCATAAGTTCATTGACAGTTTACGCGTGTGATTTAGCATTAAAGATCAATGAAATTTGGAAGATAGTAGAAATAGTAAATTCCCAGAGTCATAATTCACCAAAGAACTTTACTGCTTGTACATGTCCAGTCTGAATAAAAACATTCCTGGTGCAAAACGTCCACTGAATTTAAATCAGGAAACCCCTGAGCAAGTTTACGAACACAAACTGACGCTGTTTTACTGCAAGTTATAATTGTTCTCCACGATTGCGTGCCTCCGGCTCATATTGTCTGTTGAGCAAGAATTTCTTGCACATCAAATAAATGCTTCCTTTGAAGCGATAAAGCGTGGAAAACAGACACAAAAGGCAAAGCTTCTCATCAGAAATTCTGCCAATCACACAAATCAATTTCGATGACATTGTGATGATTTTTTGTCCATCAATTTATCTCTTGGTCGCAATCTTTATGGAGGTGTCCACCTCTGACATTCCACGCAAAAGATACCCAAGAAGTGACCGAGAATGGCTAAAGTGTTGCTTTTTGCAAATTCTGGTTGAATTTGCGCGTCGCAAGCAGAATAATTCCATGCGAAAAGGTTAAAACTCTACAACTTTTCGTGAAAAAAATCTTTTAAACAAAACTATTTCACGTTTATCGATTCAAAACATATTTATATAAAGACATTAAACTTCATGGCTCTCCGTGTGAGAAAACTGGTTTGCAGTGAACTTTTCGACGGCAATCGCAATGCAAATGTAAACAAACATAACATGTGACTTCACTTGCAGATCCTCGCACCAAAGATTGGTTTCTGTCAGGCTCCATTGGGCCCCTCTTCACAATACTGGTCACATACCTGTACTTCTGCATCTATGCAGGGCCGCGATTCATGAAGGATCGCAAGCCGCTGCAGCTGAAGAACACACTCATCGTCTACAATGCCATCCAAGTGCTGCTCAGTGTTTGGCTGGTCTGGGAGGTGAGTTTTTGCACAGATAGTCACACATTGTCCAGCCGCAAATTCCGCGCCAGATGACAAACACTCAATTGGCATCGCGGAAATTCTCACCTGAATGCCAGAGATTGTCGCCTCGCCATGCAGATTATGGAGAAAAGTGTGCATAAGTAGGAGTTTTTGCCGGGCAGTTGCGTGAGTCAGACAGCGATGAGTCGCACGCAATCCGGGTGGAGACGCCTGGTGCATTGGACGAGATCATTGAATGCCACAAGCATGCGTTTTATGTGTAAAATATGCGACATTTCTCTATTGAATTAACATTTTTATGTTTGCGCTAATTTAGTGAGCAAACAGAGGTGAATAATGAAGAATTCTTTGCACCAAGAAACCAAGCAAACGCCTTAGCTACGTTTGTGGTTGAATTATGCCAGTTTTAGACCAATGGCAGATGTAATCTACTAAAAAGCGTCTAAAGACGTCTTTTGGTGAAGAGATGATCAAAATCGGTTGATGAATAGCAGAGATATGGATGTAAACTTTAATCTTCCAAATCTCTGCTCTTAAAACATCAAATGCGACTCTAGCGCTCCTTGCGGTGATTGCATCCAATTATGCTGTTTGGCTATGTTTGGATATTTTGCAAGACCTTTTCAATGATCTATAAATCATCCCAATCGAACAATAAAAACCGAAATTATGGACATTTTAACTTTCTTATTTTGGTCTGTCAAGTCAAATTTGTCTTCGTCCATCTCTGTCTCGGTGCTAAAGTGCGTTTTTGGATTCGTTGCAGGGCCTGGAGGGTGGCTGGCGGACGGAGTACAACTTCCGGTGTCAGCCGGTCGACTACGGCCGCGGTCCCTCGGCGATGAGGATGGCGCGAGCTGTATGGACGTACTACATGTGCAAGCTGGTGGAGCTGCTGGACACCGTCTTCTTCGTGTTGCGCAAGAAGCAGAACCAAATCTCCTTCCTGCACCTCTACCATCACACCCTCATGCCAGTGTGCGCCTTCATTGGGCTCAAGTACTTCGCTGGAGGACACGGTGAGAGACTTGCATTTGACCCACTCTTGCTTTCTTGGCCCAATCTCGCGTCAATTAGTGGCGAAATCCGAAATTAGTCACTCGTCCGGGGAATTCTGCGAGCACGAGCGATAAATATTTATCCAGACACACATGATGGGTCAAAGGCATAGTGTGGCTCTCGCTTTCGCTCCGGATTCTCAAGCGGAAATTCAGAATAGCACACAACGCGTGGCCTTCTGCAGAATTGTTGGATGCGCAACACTGTTTTGTTGCGTGGTGAAAAAGTGGGTTGGGGGAAAAAATTAATTAGGAAAATCGCAAAGGTCAGTGTTTTGAGATAAATCATCAGAGAGACTTCTGAGGTGTTGTCTTGGGATGGTGTAAAAAAATAAATATGAAAATTTATTGCCCACAGACACTTTAAGATGTGTCGCAATGTCTTCTCAAGCATTGATGAAAATTCCCCCCCAAGAAAATGCCCACATATGAAGACATTAAGATAAATTTCTTTGCGGATGAATCCGTAATGAAGATATTTATGGGCATGTCGAGGTGAGAATTTATCATTGTAAAATTACAGGAGAAAATCACAATCTGGGAAGACAATTTCTCAAGGAGAATCACACAGAATTTTGCTCATTTTCATTTCATTTTAATTCTGCGAAATGATCTTATTGTTGCGCACCGTGGCAGGAAATCAAAATTCTCCACCAACAAAGAAAAGAGCCATAAAAGTAGCACTTAATTGCTGACGACTAGCCAAGAGATGAATAAAGAGTGTGCCTTCTTCTCAATACAGGAACCCTGTTGGGGCTCATAAACTCCTTCATCCATGTGATAATGTACCTCTACTACATGCTGGCGGCCATGGGGCCAGAGGTCCAGAAACATCTGTGGTGGAAGAGATACCTGACAACACTGCAAATTGTAAGTGAATCTTGATTTGTTACTTCTTGCTCTTGTCGTGTGTTCCAGCAGCGACAAAAGACCAGTCCAAGGCAATCCAGCTCTTCTGTGTGCATTCCGCTAAATCCTCCACTTTGGCGCTCTTAATGCACTTCCAGAGTTGATCAAGCTGAAATCTTGGCAGAAAGAATACAAGAAAGGATTTTCACATAATTTACTCTACAGAAAAGTCAGGGAAAAACCCGAATTCTTATCTCTTAAGTCACTTTAGTCAGTATTCTACTTCAGCATCCGTTTATAAATTCCTAAATTATGCTCTCTGCCAAGGGGGAGATATTCTAGTCGAAAGTTTGTACAGCTTAGCTGAGTCAGTTATGTTATCAGTTGATTTTCTGAGTGATAAAACCAAAATTAATCACTGAGTGGCAGAATAACGTTGATTTTAGCCTCAATAATCGAGTTATTCTCACGATTTGCTAACGTTTTATAAAATAATGTACAAATTTTAGTCATTTTATCCGCACCTTGCTTCTAAAATCGCTTTGACTCACTCATGAAATCCTATATTCTCCGGTAGTATTGGAGAAGATTAATGAATGGCAATCAGGAATGAATAAATTCACGATAACCGAGAGAATACAAATAGTATAAATGTTTGGGATTACGGTACAAATGGTGACTTTTCCTGTTTCACTCAAAACATCTCTTATCTATGCGCATTTCAACTTGAACTGCATCCACGAGTTCCTTCAGCTTGTTGCTCTTTTGCCACCTCTGATGAATCTCCTCCATGCAATGCAGTTGCATTGGCCGAAGGAGATCTCCACGAAACTGGATGACTTTGTGGCGTAAAGTGTGTAAGAAGTCTCTAGTTGAATGACTTTTCCTGCCAATGCGCGCCGTCAGCCTGGGTCATGGTCAGTCGTTGTCACGAGTGGCGCGTGCACTGCAGAAGAACCACCTGAATGGCGAAGTGTATTAACATGTGTGACATTGCTCTGTTGCAGGTTCAATTCCTCATTGTCTTCATCCACACCATCCAAGTGCAGTTCCAGCCCAGTTGCAACTTCCCCAAGAGCATTGCGGCGCTGCTGTCACTGAACGCCGGCCTCTTCACCTACATGTTCGGCTCGTTCTACGTGAAGAGCTACAGCAGGAATCGCGCCAAGGACGCCAAGGAGAAGAAGCAGGAGCTCAACCACAACGACGTGAGCAAGTGCTCGCTGGAGGTGAACGGGAAGGCGCAGCTGCAGGAGGACTACTACCCAACGCCGGCCTCGCCCATCTTCGAGAAGCTCAAGAGAAATGGTCACATACCGGACATGAAGAAGAAGGCCTAGCGCGTCTGTCTGCGACCTTAGCTTGTGTGTGTCTTAAGGATATTTGTAGTTTAACGGCAAACGATGATTTTAAGAAACCATATTCTCACCACTGCGAGATATTAAAGGAGTAATTGTCGCTGTGAAGAGTTCTCTGCTTTAGGATTATGCGCAATGTTTGCAAAAGGAAGAAGAGCTTTTAGACAAATTTCCGAATAGATGTTTTGCAATAAGTCAAACACACGATTGGGTTTCATAAATTTGCATCTCAATTGAAGAAAACACTTTCTTCTCTAACAAAACTCAAAATGTTTTAAATCACCGTTAAAACACTTTTAGAGTCAAATAGAATCGAATAAATCAATAAACAATTTGGCTAAATTCACTGTCAAAGTGTCACTTCTTCATTGCAGAACTTTGCGCTTTAGTTTTTACGTTGTGATAAGGTTAAGAATTTTAAAATATTGTGTTGTGTTGTCCTCGAAATTGCAAATATAAGTCGCTAATGAGTTGGCGTCGCGAAATGATCACCTCAAAAAGGTCAAGAAGACGCCCAAAAAGGATCAGCGAAGCATTAAAAAAAATCAAGTTCAATTTCCTGTAAATTGTAATTTATTGAGGAGTGTGCGTATTTTAAATAAAAACTCAAAAAAAAAATTTGCCTCCAATGGTTGTTTATGTCTCTTTGTCCTCAATCGCAATTGAAAGTCAAATGAAGAGTCAGTGGTGAATTTTTATCAAAATTTATTGTTTTACACTTTGTCTCCTTATTTTCAATGTATGTAATTTATACACTTACAAGTCAAGTTGATTGTATAAATTAGGAAATAAATTAATCAGTTGCATTGATCCATCTTTTATCGTACTTCTTCTTTTTTTTTATATAAGGATAGAATAGAGAACAGCGAATGACTCGCATGTCCTTTTATAGTTTCTTTTTTTCATCTTTTATATCTTGTAAAGAGTTTCCTATAGTTTATTCTTTTTTTTTTAGATAGTTTTATCATGATGTGGAATGATGAACAGTCATATCAAATAGTGAAAGCTTGAGGTGTTATGAATTTCTCTTCTTCTCCTGTTTTCGGGGCCTCTTGAGCTGTGAGATACACACCATAATAGTGACTCTATGCATTTTTTCTTTTATTTATAGCTGCTATATGAACCTCTCTCTCTCTCTCTCGTCTTAAGGGTAACTCGCACGTCCCATCGTGTGTTGCTTAGAGGTATGAATAATGCGACAATTAAGTGGGTATTATTAGAATTGTAAAACAAAGTACAATGCCCAAAATATTCGCTATACTGTTCTCAACCTTGATCACTTTGCAAAATTCCACCTTCTTTCACTACCGGACTTGATATTCCTTTTCTTCTCACTAACTAACATGACTCATTGGCTATTATTCTACGCATTTTGCATAATATTAGTAAGGATTTCTACTCTTGTCACAGTATTAATATCTTACTAAGATATTTCCTCTTTCTTTTATTATTTTTTGGTATACTTTCCAAGAAGGATCTGCCACAAAGTAACACTATTTCGAAAGCATATTATGCTAAAAGAAAAAAGAAACTACTTTTATCCTTGCAAAAACTATATATTATTGTACAAAAAATCTATTGGATTGAAACCAAGAAAAATTTATTTGTCTCCTTGTCTCATCGTGTAGAGAAATCGAAATTAATTTCCACTAAATTTACACCCAGAGAAAAAAGAAACCAGTTGCCAAAAGAAAAATAGAAATTGAGAGGAAAAGCAGTCAAAACAACTTACATTTTCGACTTTTTTTTTGTGAATTTCATTCACAAATTATGATTTTTTCAAGTTTCATTCCTCCAAAAATTGACAAAACATCAACAGAAATTAATAATAATATGCGTCTTGGGATTTTTCCACGCCAAATAGTGAAGACAACAATATTAATTCAAGCAGAGAGAATTGATTCTGACGTGTGTGTCTTCAAAATATTCGACAGAGACATAATCAAATATAGAGACATTTTATGCTTTACAACAAAAAAAAAATTCTCTAACCACTTCTAAATAAAATCAATAGCCAAATAAAACATTATATAATTTGTGAACCAATTTTTTCTTCATCTTCTCAACTCAGCAAAAAAAAAAGTTACTTTGACTTCAGATTACAATATTTCTTTCTTTATTTATTTTTCTCTTTTTATTTCAATGAAAAATGAATAGAATTCGAGATAGGAAATACTTCATTTTTCTCCATTACAAACAAATATAAGGTAAATATATGGTATATAAATTCTAATCAGTGATTTTTTCTTTCATATTATACTAATGCTATTTAAATTAAAAATTTACAACTATTTTTCACTTTAAGAGCGTCTTGATTTCTTTGTATATTTTGATCTCTCACTGCATCATATATATTTTGTTTTTACTCTGATTGTTCTGATCCTCAATCTTACCTTCTCTTGTTCCACAGTTGCATGCGCGCCAACGTAGAAGGAAAGTAAGGAAGATGCTCAAGAAGTTTCAATACTATATATACTTGTCTTGTCTATATTCATCTTCACTCTCTCTCTCTCTCTCTCTCTCTCTCTCTCTCTCTCTCTCTCTGTCTGTTCCGTGTTTTAGAAGGCAATAGCTGGATGAGGAACCGCACATTCACCGACTGTCACTCGATACATGGCCATTTCGCTGAGTGGATAGAAATAGAAATGAAGAATAAATGTTAGAGAAAATACCCACAATTTGTCTTTTGGGAATTATGAAATCGATTTTTCGTGAATAGACATAAATTAAAATCAATAAATCATAATAACAATTCACTAGGAGAATTATTCCTCCATATTAATATCCACAAATAAATTGATGAACTTTGTGCTGATTAGCACAATGTTTTAAATAGACTGTCCAATTGGAGAGAAAATATATGAGGAAAACCGTGAATTTCTCATCACACAAAAGCTATCTTTACAACGCCAGAAATACACACAATGCAGAGGGTGAAAAAAAGTCAATTACCTGATGCCGTGATAGTGAACAAATGCGGCAGCAATGACGAGCACGTGGAATATTTGATGAGATTGAAACTGAAAATATAAAAGTAGCAATTTCAGTAATAGCACACAGTAAGAAGAAAAAAACCGCATGTTCATTGAGAAAAAAACACTCACCCAAATGTCAAATTTACCAGGGAACCATCTCTCAGGCACGCGCAGGGCGTAAAACAGCGCTCCCAGGATGTACAGGAGTCCCATGAGGACCAACCAGCCGAGACTAGCTCGACTGATCTGCGTGAACCAGCCCTCCATGAGTCCATAGTGAATGGCCGGAATGATGCCAGACAGACCGAAGCTCATGAACACACCGGCGCGCAGTGGTCGCAGATTTGGCTCAGAGAACTTATCCCACAGCGACACAACAATGGAAAGTATCCCGAGCACCACCACCACGCTCAGGTAAATGAGTTTGTGCTGATAGTGACAGTAGAAGCCGTAGTAGAGCCATGGCACGAAGGATCCCATAATCAGCAGAGCGATGCCGCAGTAATCCAGCTTGGAGAAGAGCTTCCCCACCACCTCAGAATGACAACTGAGTGTGTGGAAGGCAAATGAGAAGCCCAGGCAAACGATGGCGCCGGCAAAGAAAGCGCCAAAGATCAATTTCTCCTGCAACTGTATCTCAATCGAGGGACGAGTGAGAAAGTAACAAGCCACCCCAACGAAAGCAAAGCATCCTGCAAAGAGAAGAAAAGAGAATTCATTCAATATTTTCATTATTCTAATCAATATTTATTTATTCAATACATTTATGTGATTTCTAACGTCTCCCAATCGACGTCATTCTGAGGCAAATTGTTTGCTTTCGATGAGTTGCCAACAAAACACACACGCTTCATCATGAAATATACTTATTTGACCCATGAATTAACCTTCCATGTCTTTGAGATCATTGCAAAAGAATAGAGATGCAAATCGTACCAAGTGACGATGCACAATTTTTCACTTCAATTGTATCATTCTATACATTTTCTGAACCACTCTTTTCTTCTTCCCTAAATCCATGAATTCGCAAATTTATACGGTACATTTTCTGTGGCTTTTCGCTTATCTTTGCAGATAAATTCGTGAACTAGAGATTATCATGCTTTAATGACCGCACATGAAACACCCAAAAAAGTGTTATCTAATTGCCAGTGGCGTTCAGGAAGGTAAAATGTCTAAAATACAAAGATTTTGCCTGAATAAAAACACCAACAAAAGCATCTTTCTGCATTGCATGGAAAGTTTTATAGCCTTCCTGTCAGTTATATTTGTGTCTTGAACTGCAAATAAATACATTTAGCCTTCTTATTGTTGTTGTGTTTCTCTTCTAAAGTCAATCATGAAATCTATGATTAAGTAGAAACAACATTTTTGGCACCTTTCCTCACATATTATGTCACTGATGATTGCTAATGCCATAGAAAAGAACATCATGAGAAAACAGCTGGTGAATATGTAACAGTTCTGTAAATAATAATAAATGCAAAGAGAATTCCTTCCATGGAATGGTTATTAAATAAATAAAGTGATTGATAAACATTTATGAAGAAACAGAAATAAAGAATCCTCTGTAAACTATTCATGGGAAAATTGAGGAAAAGACGAACTCTGACACAAACTGGGAATACCATGAGGACATTCGTGCGAAGCACAGTAACACGACAAAAACACCGTTTCGTCAATATATATATGGAATCATGCATGACTAACTTTTGAGTGTGTTTATCAACGCATTGCCTGACTAGTGAAATACCTAATAATGGTATTTCTTTATCAATAAACTATCATGTCACAATTGTATGGCAACAGTTATCGATGCCCTCAACTTAGCGACACTCACCCAGAAGATGTGTCCAAATGTTGCCCGTTTCTGTGTGAATGCGAAAGATGGACTTGAAGCAGGCGCCAAAGGACGGAAGAGGCGGACGATGACCTCTGTGCAGGAAATCGTTGTCCTGCAGCCAGCGAGGTAGATTCTTATAGTGACACACTTTCCACGATGCCTCCAGCACCTTCCGCACAAACTCCTCCGCCTGCTCGGCAGCATTGTGCGCCAGAGCGCCCAAATCAATCTCATCCGACAGCACGCCAGCCTTCAGCACCTCCGTCATCTCCGCCTCCAGCAGCTGATTGTCCTCCGGCGTGGATGGCAGCGGACATCCGGCGCCGTCTTCCTCCTCTTCGCCGAAATTGTCATCATCATCGCCCACATCCAGGAGATCAATGTCATCATCTGCAGACACCAGAGAATCCTCATCGGGATTCCATGCGCGCCTCTTTCTCAAGCTCGACAGATCCTCCATGAGCGTGAGCGGCAGGACGCTTCGTCCCTCCGACGCCGCCATGCCGAGACTCTCTCTCACACCTTCACTGTATTGCGACATGGTCACTATCTAATGAGACTCTCCTGCGGAGGAAACACAGCCTAAAGTTAGTTAATCTCCAGAGCGATAACCTTATCAAATAGGCCAAATCCACTATCTCCTCAAGACACAGTCTCAGCGGACTCAGCACTTCTATACTATGCGCAAAGACTACCCAACTTGAAGGTCAACACGTCGTAGATTTCTTTCGCACACACATTTTCCATGCGATGTACGGCTTAAAGCACGTGCTTTGCGCGCCATACAAGTTTTCCTCCCCATTTTTACGCTCGCGCCTTCAAGTTCAACCGCCAATCATTCGCGTCTCCCATTATCGCGTCTTCTAAGCCTGAGCTGCAAATTATCTATATTCTCTGTGACTTTTCACATGTCGTCCAAAGAAGTTATGCCATCGAATATTCTTCCTCACTCGCACAGAAGTTAATAATAATATGATTCAGGAACGGATAAAGTAACAACTAAACCATTACACATTTAGGACACGATGCTTGTATTTACGACCCATAAAACTAAAATCATTCTCAGCCACAATTAAATGTTGGCTAAAAGCAATGCGGTTTTGATGTTCATCATGGATAAAAATAGAAAAATCAGGAAGATAAATTTGACCAGCGACGACATTCTCTTTATTGACCGCTCTTTGCAAAGGGTGAAAAACGTGGAATATAATGTAAATAGAAAGAAAGGAAAAGATATTTAATTTTACTATAAATTTGCATAATTTTCCACCCCTCTTTGAGGGAATAAATAAGAGAATTTCATCGTTACGAATATTTTTAAACTCTTTCGACTTTAAAACATGCACAAAATTGCTCTCTAAAAGCTCGTCTCAAATAAATTTTCCAGAAGTTTGCTTCCTTTTTATCCACACAAAGAAATTTCAATGCAAATTCCACTTTATTTTCTTCCATTCAGCCCAAGAATTCACCTGATTGTGCACGTAAATCAATACGAAAGTAAATAAAACAATCGAAGGTAGAAAGAAAGACAATTTGCTTAATTGTTTTCCCCCTTTGTTCTTATCATCCGTCGTCACAAGGACATAAAATGCACTTGACTTTCTCAATTTCTTCTCTTCAACTCGAAAAAACACTTGAAAAACATACACACAAGAATTGATAATGATTTGCAAGACTTTTGCATGGGACGCGCGACATTACAATCTCAAGTGCGAATCGAACAATCACAGTTTCTGTATTAATTATCGCACATTCAGTGAGTATTGGAGGCAAAATTGTCACGCATTTTTACAGTGGCCGGAAAAACGGGAAAACCTGAGTGGCAAAAGTGGGTGGAAAAGGTGGAAAACAAGACGCAGAAATTGATGAAATGCGCCAAAAAGGGAAAGTTCGACGATGTTGGCAGAGACGCAAAATTATGCAACAAGCTTCAAAGGAGGCGCGCTTTCTCACCAGATTTCCTCACTTTTCCCACACGAAAAACAGTCCAGCGACAGAGGCGAAAGAGTCAAAAGATGATCAGGAAGCAAGAGAAGTGCTTTCATCGACTTTGAACTCACAATTGCAGCATGAAACTCGAGTGCAAAGTCCTTTTAACTGAGTCGCGTTATCGATTTTTCCCTGCGCTTCTCCAGTAAAATCCACCCAAAATCCCACAACTGTGTCATCAAAATCCACAAAATCCGCATGAAATGTGGTGAAAAACTTACGTGAGATTTGCTCAGTGGCAGAAATGGTTGGAAAAATTCAGTGAAAATGTGTATCAGTCGAAGAAAAAAGGTGTTGTGTAATTTAGTTGGGCTCTGCAGTGAAATTTTCCCTGGACTTTTCCACGTGTTTCACTGACCAGAACACACCATTGCACAACACTGGGGGTCTCTCTCAGCCCTTCTGTTCAATATAAAGTCACTTGTGATAGGAAAATCGCGAAAAATCCGTGGGAAAATGGCCCGTGAGAATTTTCAGACTCGTGAACACACTTTTCTGCACTTCTTTCATTGACAATGAAAGACGTCACATGTCAACCCAGCAGACTATGCTCACGCTCTCTACACGTTACGGAATCCATACGACGCACGTGTTTGCATTAAATAAAATGAGCGATTTCTAAAAATTTTCACAAATTAGTAATTTCTCATTCTGATACAAATTCAAGTACAAATCTTAATAGTACATCGGGCCTTATAGCATATATCCACGAAACATCATCTATTGGGGTATTACGCCCAATGTAATAGCCAGCGACAAAGGCACTGATTATGTTAGCCACAAGAAAGAATAGAATAATCATCGTAAACTTCGACTCAAGTTTCGACTGCAGATCTTCTTGAAAAGAGGAGAACATATTCCTGTCTTAGCGTGAGTATTCGGCTATTCGTACTCAGTACCAATAGGATTGTGGTGCTCGCTCGGCTGGGCTTCCAATAGGCCGTACGTCATTCGCCCCACCATCTGTAGGGCTATTGCGCCAGACTGTTGGTGAAGAAGAAACAATACATTTTGTACCTCCTTGTTTTACACCTTTTTTCCACCCAAAATCTCACCCAAGGAGAGTGTTTTCGTGTCTTGTCCTGAGCGCAGCTCCTGATCCTTCACACGATGGGAGACAATTTTGAGCAATATTTGCTCACGGACTACTGTGATGTCAGCGAAACAATACAGCAACGTCTGCTCAACACCCACAGAATAAAAGTGAGTGACATCCGGAAGGACTCCTCTTATCTGCAATGAAATGCTAATTCCAGGCCTTTCCATGTCATTCCAGTACACATGCTTCAGTGCCTCAGACAAGTGTCTGGTGTTTGGTGCTACATCTGGCAGTCTGTATCTGTTCCAGCGCTCGCCCTGCAAGTTCAGGCACTTGATTCCCAATCGCACGAGCTCCGTGAGCCTCGTGGCCATTTCCGGCAGTGAGAAGTACATCGCCCACGCCACCGCCTCGGGTGAGATCTTCCTCACGATGCTGGGCAGTGAGGCGAGCAGTCCCGAGAGGGCGATCAAGATCGACGCGGGGCGGATTACTTGTCTCCACTGGGCGACGGGCGACAAGTGTCTCTATTTTGGCGACGATCGAGGACGCGTGGCGTGCGTGAGTGTGTCCACGTTCATCCATCGCTCTCTCCTGAACATGCACACACAGGAAATCCTGCTGCTCACGTCGCCAATCCTGCAGATTGACAGCTTCGACGTGCTCCTGCTCGTCACCACCACGTCCGGAAGCATCATGTGCAACACGGAACGCGAGGAGTTCAAGCGGATCGGCTCGCAGGCGAGGAATGGTGCTGGCGGAGCGTGCTTCGTGGGTATTCAGAAAGACGAGTATCTGACTGGGAAGATTTTCTGCGCCAGACCAAAGACACGCTTCTGGGAAGTGCAATTCGATGGGAATGTCAAGCAGACCATCGATCTGCGAGAGGCTCTGGCCATTCCTCCGGCGCGAATCAGGAATGCCACAACAGAGGAGGATGCAAGTGTGGATTTTCCTGCGCAGATTCTGTCTTTCCACCAGCTGCAATGCATGGAGAATCGATTGATTGTCGCCAACACGTCGAGTGGCGTCTATATTTTTGACCCGACTCAGAATTTCGTACTGTGGAATGATGAGTTCAGTAATATTCACAGTGTTCGGATCGTTGGGAACAGTTTGTACATCTTCCTCAACAGCATGGAAGTGTTTGTTGTGCGTGTGACGAAGCTCTGTGATCATATCGTGGACATTTTGATGGCTGAAGACTTCCCAAAGTGTCTGGAACTCATGGTGCGAAACATGTCCTACGTGAAAAATCATGTTAGGGTGCGAGAGAATCTTCATCAAGTGGGCAAATTTCGTGAATTCCTCCGGGAGACGAAGCACGATGACATTCTGAATCTCTTGGAGAGCATAATTTCCACGCCGAAGCGTGATTTGACTGAGAATGCAAATGCTGATGAGATGAAATTTCCACAGAAGAACATCAAAGATGTGATTGCCACGGTGATAAAGAGCAAATTGGGGAAGAATATCAAGATGGGATTGAATTTGCTGGCAAGCTTTGACACGACGCCAAAGCAGGAATCACCGGCGGAGCACCAGAATGGCCAACGCACGGTGTTCAGGGAGATTGAGGAATTCTCAGCGAACTCCTTGGCGACTGACGAGGAGATTGTGACGCGCAAAATGGTGCTCAACAGGAAGACCAGCCCCGAGATGGTCTATCCCAGGCTCACGGATGAGGAGAAGCTGCTGAGGAATCTGTACATGATCTACAAGTCTTCCAGGATCGGCAATATCAGGCTGGTGGAGAGATATGCTGAGATCTTCGACAAGTACACACTGGCGGAGATTTCGGCGTTGCTGGGAAAACTCCAGGGCGTCATGGTTGAAAATGGTGAGTTTCCTGATAAAAATAAACAAGACACTTCTTTATCATATCCTTTTTCTCCATTTTCCTTAGGCGAAAGCGAATCAGAAGCGCGCAGGAATTGCATTGGCCTGTATTTGGACTACATCAAGCCGGAGTTGATTTGGGAGATGGACGAGAAGGCGCAGGAATTCCTCTTGGAGGGCTTCATGGTGGTGAATGAGGACGAAGGAGCGCCAAAGTGTGAGAGTTGCTCATTTCCTCTGATCACCGTGCACGAGGGTCAACACATGGATCTGGGCAAGATTCTGTTTCAGTTCCTCTGGTCCAGACAAGACAAGCAGCGCTGTGAATCTCTCGCTCGTCGCGTGCCTGCCCTGCTGGGCTTGTGGTGTCTCTATCGCGCCCAGGAGGGCCCTTTTGAGCACATGGAAGACTTCCTCTTTGCAGCGGGAAATTGTACGACTGTGAGGAAAGTGTCTGAGCGTCTCAAGACGGTACAATTCGAGAGGATTCTCTATCTTCTCGACCAGTTGCTCACGCACAGAGTGACTTGGTGTCCACAGTGCGGAGCGCAGGCCGAATTGGCGGCCACAATCGCTGGTCTGCCAACTTTCTACTCGTGGCAGTTCATCACGGACGTGGCCGTGAAGCGTGCCGGCGGACGACAGACGCTGCAGGAGCTGCAGAAGTATCAGAAGAATCTCCCTGTGAATTCCCTGACGAGGGAATACTTTCTCATGTGCTTGCAATCGCCATAGACTCAGGCTCCGCCGCGAGCTGCATTTGTTCACTTTATCAGTTACCACAATCGGACACGAGTCGGAATCCGGCTCAGTATTGGACTGTATTTTACTGCATAAATTTTTACACGCGTATACACCAAAAATAAAAAGAAAGCATTAAAGGATATTAATAGGACGATAAGGTGCAAGTTGCTAATAAATTATTAAACGTGTATTATTTTGAATGACAAATAAACATTGAAAGAGACAAATAATTTGTGATTTTTATTACTCTGATTTGCTGATAATAATTGTGATGTTAAGGAAATTAAGTAAATTGACTTACCTTTGTTGACTCATTGGAAACCGCATTGAAATGTCTTTTCGGCCAAGTGGAATTGCATTGAAAGAGAGTTTTTTTATTCTTCGAATTGGACTTTATTGTATATATATTCATATATTTAATATACTTTATTTCCATACATCTTATAGCTTTTCTCAATATATATTCTTCACTTTTTTGCTTCTCTTTTTTTGAAATATATAGTTTCTTCTTTTCATCTTTCAAAGAAATTACTCACATGTTGATTTTTCTTGCAATAATATCGATTTTCTTTTACTTTGTCACCTTATAAATAAATATTAGTTTCATTATGTTTTTTTTAGTGTTTCTGTGTGTGTGTTTTTCCACCATCTCACTAAACTTGCCTTACAATGTACTTCTCTTATCCGATAGTTATTTTCTTCTTTCACTACAATGTAATGTTTTAATGCGAATATGCATTGTTTTGTTTTGTAAAATACAAACGAGAAAGATGTTTATGATATAGTTTCTTTCATTTTTTTTATCTTCTTCTTCCTTTTGTATGTAAATCAATAAAGTATCTTTAGTTTTTCTTTTACATTTTTCTCTCTTTCTCATTTTTTTTTTTTAATAAAAACACTATAAATATAACTTCTAGTCATTTTCTATTTCTTGGTGTTTGTGTCATAAATATCAAAAATTTTTCTTGTTGTTCCAATTTCTCATTTTCTTTGTCAGCTATTTTATAATTTTTATGATTTTTTTACTTCAGAGTTTTATCTTTTTGATATACAAAAACTTAACAACAATCGAGAAAGGTTTTGTATTCTCTGTGATGACATTCTATGCAACTTTTAATGATACTTCTTCTTCTCGACTTTTTCTTAAATGATAATGCAAAAGAAAATAGAAATAATTAAATGAAATAATTGCTTAGAAGGTAAAAATGTGATATTTGGAAATTTAAATGGTTCAAGTGGCATGTTTTTTATTGATATCTTGTAGGTTTTTTATGTCTTCCTTGTCATCTCTAGTGATTAAGTGTGATTTGTGTTGTTGTTTGGAAAAGAGGACTTGGTTTTTACATACATTCTTAACACTTAGCTCAACGATTGTTTATCAATATGGTTTTCATCATTCATTTTTAGGTATCTTTTTTCTTCTTCTATTACATATATTATTTGGGAGAATTGAACTATTTCTTTGTATTGTTTATCAATATTTGTTTACTGAATAATTTTTCCTATATATTTAATGCCTATTTCTTTTCTTTTTAGAGATGGAATATATCTCGAGACACAACTCTTAAGCTAAACTCAAGTCAAGAAGCTGCAATGCGAGCATCGCAATTCTTGGCATGAGACAATGATTGTGAATTTTTTATCCTTGATTTTTTTTATCTGAAAGATATTAGAGGTCAAAGGTCTTCCCACCACTAGTTGGCGGTGATTCTTGTTCTATGTAGAGTTACCAGTTTGTCGATATATAGAATGTGTTTACAAATAGAAAAAACAGCAGGTTGAAGGATTTTGTCGGTTAGAAAAGTCTGAATACCTCGATTTTCTTTATAATTTCAATCAGTTCAAGAGTTCAGTTTGTGCTTTTTGGCGGGAAACTTTGAGCCTCTCTCGTCGCACCCCAAAGAAAAAGTATTTTTTCAATCTTCAATTTAGAGAGTGTGAGAGTGAGTGTTTTGCTCAAGAATATTTGCCTTTAACTATTTCTGTAACAATTAATTATTTCCTTTTATCGCCTCACCTTCGTCCTATATGTTTCTTTATTCTGTATGCAATTATTATGTCAGCCAGTCCGTAAACTCATCATTCGCCATTTCTGTACTGTTGTGAGTTTACATCCTGAAGCCTTTTGTCTATAGCAATCACAATTATATACCATCATTTCTGTAATATGTACAATTGTTATCTTCACACTATCTTTTTACCTATTTCTTATATCATGTCTTGATGTGGGTTTTAGGAAACAACACAATAATTAAAGTAAGATATTTTACAAACAAAAAAGAAGTATATATCAATTGGGAATCCCTTATTAATAAACTATATAATAATGTAAAGTGTACAAGAAATATGCCACTGTTTCATGCCTTTTTCGGTGCATTATGTTCTCAATAATATAGTTAATAAGATTTAAATATGTTTCAATTAAAGAAAAATACTCAATTGTGAGTCTGAGAAGATTTCTGACATTGAGCTTGAGAGACGATAAAAAATATTGTTGATGAAACAATTGTAAAAGAGACGCACCAAAGTGATTGGTGGAAACAATGAAACATCAAACATCTTTTATTGTCTCGAGAATTTTACTGTTTGAGATGAGAAAATGAGACACTCAAGATTAAATATTAAGCGATCTTATTTACAAACGATTAATAGGCAAAATGACTGTCACAGAGTGGAAAAGTGTCGAAACAATAAATTATTACAAAATACACGGTAGAAATGAGGAGTTTCCACTTAAAGACTATTAACCACTAATACTCCGATCGAGGACACCTAAACCTAAAGCTCTCCTGGCGTCCAGAAAGTGAACATTTTTTTTCGTTATCATTAAGGCAATTAAAACGATGATGTAAGAGTAGAAACAATCAAACACTTACCAGCTAAGATGTGAAATTTTTGTTTAAATTGTAAAAATGTTGGTATTTTTAAGAAATCTTAGGTACAAATGGCTACATTATCGGAAGAAAATCTTAACAATATTTCTCATAATCAACTCAGCTGTTGTTCAAGAGCAAACATAAAAAAAATCAGGGACTCGCGAAACATAAAGAACAAAAAAAAGAGTGGCTTTTGAGCTTTTGAAGGAAAGAAAAAGAAAAAAAATGTATTCTTGAGAAATAAATCATCAATAGATTTTCTTTTATTAAATAGTAATCATGTATAATAAATTTATTTTACATTTTCTTTATCATACCATTTTTTCTTTTTAAATATATAATAGCAAAAAAGAACGTCAAAATTATATTTAACATACAAATATTTGCAACAATATTTCCGCTCTTGTCGTTCAATTGTTTGTTTTTTTGTTTCTTTATCATCAAAAAATTGTATAAATATAGTACAATTATATCAATGATGCTCATCCTTGCAAAATATGAAACAACTCAACACAGGGTGTTTCTGCAAAAATGTTTCGCCAACAATATTTTCATAACTCTTTGCCGCCAAACATTTCTACAAAGCCAACTGTCACTGTGTAACCTTCTCTCAATGTACTTTACGTTGCGACATTCAAGCTGTAAGTGTGTGAAAATTAAGAAAAAAAATATGCAAGTAAAGTAAGTAAATAAATATTGCAAATATATATTGTATAATATATAAAAGTATTACAGGGAAATTGCATGAATTGCAGTAAAATTGCAAATACGACTTTTTGAGAGTGTGTGGACTATATAAATACGAAAAGAAATATATTCATATATATCAAATTTCCAAATGAATACCATAACTAAAAATAATAATCCGAGAATTTTCTCTTGTGGGTAAAACAAGCGCCAAAACTAATGCCGTCATTTAACAAATTTCTAGGATTTTCTTCACCACGATTATCGTCTTAAAATTAATTTGTAACTTGATGTACTTGTTTTTCTTCTTGTTTGTCTTGTAAAATTTAAACCTTATGTAAGAAGTAAAATTTAAAAGTTATAGCCATAAAATTCATACAATTAATTTTCCATTGTCTCTCATCATCCGAAATATAAGATATTTTCCATTTTTTTCGTGTATATTATTAGTTGTTATTCTATCAAGTTATAATTAATATTTAATAGATAATATTCTGCTTTTTTTTATTCTTCAACGACACTCATCTATGCAATAAACTTCCTCCTCAATTTTGTAAAGTTCTTCTCCTTCTTTTTCTTCTGGGTGTCTTAATAATTAAAGAGTTTTCTTTTCTTTTTTACATATTGAAATGGTTCATTCAGTAGAGGATCATCATTTTTTATTAATTTTCTCACTTTGTATTTTCACCATCTTGCATAAGTAATAATTACTATTTTAATAATAAGTGTATAATATGAATAATTTATATTGCATCTAAATAGATTGTTCATGTACTTTTAAGTGCTTTCATCTTGTTATTTTCTTCTTGCTATCTTCAATCATCTTTTTATATATCGTTCTTTCATCCATTAAATATTACAAATATTATTTCTCAGAGTTATGGTGTTCTTTTTGCTCTTTTTTTTCTTTCACATCAATATTCATGTAGAGGTAATTGATTTGAAAATCATCATTTATAGCTTTTATTACACGATTTGCAATTTGCGTGACGTGAATTCCGAGGAGAATTTAGTTCAAGTTCAGTGTTTTGTCTATTTTTTTTTTCGAGGATTATCTTTTCCACAATTTAATCTCCCTCATTCACTCAAAAAGATGCAAGAATTCTTCATGTTTCATTGCACGCATTGTTTCACGATTGCTTCTCGTATAAGTTGATCACGTACGAAGGAAATAAGATCAGCAAATGGGTGTTGAAAGAAGCGCAGAAAGAATAACAAAATGCAAAGAGAATTGCGTGAGGCTTTTACGCGTTTTGTGGCCCTCTCTGCTGGCCACCTCTGAAGATCACCGACAAGATCGCCGGCGAGATCGCGAGAGATGACAAGAAGAGAAGGGCACACCTTAAAGATCAATCGCAGTCCATTGATCGTGGGTGATCAATTTGCATGGCCATCGCGATGATCGCAATACAAATTGATCGCGTGCGACATTGTCATTCGGGGTGAATTCCAGACGCGATCATTGATCGTGCGCTTTCGTGATAAAGATCGCATTATGAAATTGATCCTGAAGGACAACAGAGTCCCTGGATTTCACAGTGAACCCCGAAAGAAACTCACCCTTCCAGCTGTGGTGATTGGGAAGGGGCGCTTTGTGATCGTGGAAGAGTTTTCCTAACATTTACAAAAGAAATAATAAAACTAACCGTAAAGTAAAAGTTTGTCACATTTACAACCATATTAAAAATTAAATTTAATATCCTCCTCTGGTAACGCGTCCACATATGTTTATCAATAATTTTTTCTCTCTATATTTTAAATATATTATAATAATATTCCATCCTCAATTATCATTTGCTTCGGAAAAAAAGTGGAAAACATTGAAAGTATTTAACGATAGAGATCCATTGAGTTTCTTAAAGTTATTATCAATATGTTTTTTCTTCTGTTCTTCTTAAGAATTAGTAATATATATATATATATTGTTATATTGTATTCTTCTCTCTTTCAGTTTCTCTCTTTACGTCCTTAAACACTATTAGTAAAATTTATATTGAATATTTTGTATATATCTCATATTTTCTCACTTATCTCTTATTCAATAATTTAATAGTAATAGTTAATATTATATATATATATATATATTTTTTTTTTTTTCTCCATCAGATATTTGCAGAGTGTCTCACATTAAAAATTAAATCTCTACACCTCTATAATCATCTCAATTGTGCCATCCTGTGTGATGGCGATTCTTTTTGTAGGTTCATCTTCTTCAGTATTTTTCTTTGTTTTCTCTTTTTCATCTTCTTTTTAATTTTTTTCCCACTTTTTTTTGTACAATAATAGGCAAAAATATAAGTCTTTTATATTTATTTCTTGTTTTTCATCTCTCATACACTTTGTTGTCATGGAAACGCAATCAGTTCACGTTTCATTCAGCAAAGACAACATCAGTCAATTAGTTCTTGTTTTATAGTAAGAAATTGCGCCGATCGAGGACTTAACTCTGCGACCCTCAATTCGGCTGAAGATCATTTCTCATTTGCAGTGAACTTGCGTGAGTTCCTCTGTAAGATTTTGGTTTTAGTCGTCTTACGAGAAAATGATGAAGGGGCCAAAACGTTGTGTGGTGTTGCTCACGATCGTATTTTCTTGTTTTTGTTTTTGTAGGTTCTTCGCGCGATTGTTAAACACTTATTTGATTTTTTTCTTTATAAATTCGAATTGTTTGCCGACAAAAATGCTATTTTATGATTTTTTTTTCTTTAATTACTCATCTCGTTTTGTTTTAATATTAAAGTTTTTCTTCTCATTCACTTCTATTACTATAAATTTTTTCTCATTTTTTTTTTAAAGTACGCACCAGATTGATTTTAAGTCTTGGCAGTGTTTCTTCAATAACAATTAATTTTACTCTTTTTCGACTTGACACAAAAATTAAATAACAAAAAAAACATTGACAAAAAAATTGACGATGCTTGTAAAAAGTATTTTTTAATTTGTCGGTCACTTTATGATTAAAAATTATATATATATTAGCCACATTAGACGGGGACTTTCTCATATTTAGGTGGTATCGAAAATCATTTAAAAAAAATCATTTGAAACACATTTTGTGAAAAAAATACTAACGCAACGAGGGAATTAATATTTGACAACATAAAAATATTTGATAAAAACTTTTACATATTTTGCAAGATTTCCACTTTTACTAGTATTTTCTCATCATTTTCAATAAATTGATATGGTAAAACACGTAACAACTAAATCAGCCTTATCGATTTTTATTGTTTCTATAATCTTTTCTTCGTTAAAATCTTTTCTTTTCTAGTTTACTTTCTTTACTCAAATTATCCTCAATCGAATTGTTTCTTTTTTACTCCTGCTTCATAAAATAGTCTGGACTTCTTTTTGTCGTACGTCTTTAAGAGATAGAACGATGAAAAATATTTTGCCAATTGTCTCCTTATTCTGCCATTACTGAAACCTCCATTTCTCAAACTAGCAAATTTAAGTGCTTTCAAACACTGCCGAAATTTTTTGCTCTGCTCTTTAATTCGAATTCACATTTTTCCCCTTTTTATTCTTCTCAAATTTTTCACATTTTTGTTTTTTTTAATATTCTCATTCAATTTCACATTTGACCGATCTCGAAACATCAACTGACTGCCTTGCTTTATTTAAATCTGCCACAAACAGTGATCGTGATTTTGTGATCTTGGGCTGTAATTTCTCTTTATCTTTTTCTTTTTTACTTCCGAAACTTCAACTTTCCGGAATATGAGTTTTGTATGGTTGTTGGAAAAGATTTTGCTGTTATTTTGCACTTTCATCAGTGGTTAAATAGAATCTTTTGAGTTTGCCACTATAAAATTTCTGGTGTTTTGAAAAATAACACTTTTTCTCTATTATTTTTTTTATTATAAATCTTTTCTTCTGGTTCCCTTTTGTTTTATGCAAAAAATAATGTTGCTCCATCTTTAAAAAAATATATTTCTGCTTCCATGCTTAAATATTTCCTCTTCACAATATTTGTTTCTTCTTTTTTTTTGGTTTGTCTAGATATTTCTTTATTAGTTTACATATTTTATCAGGGTTATGCTATTTAGGTATTTTTTTTACGTGATATCTTTTTCTTTTCTATTTTTGTAGAGATATTTTTTTCCACGATACATATCAATTTATTTTTTCTCACATCATAATCATTCTTTTGACAACTTCTATTTACCTTTTTTTCTCTTTACTTTCACTTTTGATTAATGCACAAACATTGAGGGAAAAATGGCGTGCCGTAAAACATTGCTTGCTGCAAAAAGGAAAAGAAATCTTATATAGAAGAAAATGTTAAACAAAGTGAAGCTTTCTAGCATCATTATCACTTCCTATGAGTTTTATCTTTTCAATTTTCTTTGAGATATAATTCTTTTTTTCTTTTTACAAATTTAATCATGCCTTCTATTGAGACTTTCTCACACATCTACCAATTAACACAGTGGATATCTTATCGACTGTTCTACACCACAAATATTTCTCAGAAGAAGAGGTTTCTACGAAGCATTCCACAGACATTTGCAAATCTACTTGTACGTCTTGATAAGATTCAAACTCAATTATTGACATCCTATAAGCTTCCTATACTGTTCCTAGAAGTTTAAAATTGAATGAATTTCTTCCGCATCACGGCTAAAAGTTTGTGTTTTCTCCATTAAAATACGCTTTCCCTTGTCAACTCTCAATCGCACAAGTCGTGGCATGGAAATATTTTCTCCGTATTGTCCATCTCTTTAAAGTCGTCCTCCTGAAACTGTTGAGCTCATCGATGGATTGTTTTTTTTGTTGAAATCATTTTCATTTTGCTTGGGGGAAGATGTGGATGGTCTTTGATGCATTGACTAAATAACTTGCCCTGGGTTTGCGCGCGCAATTCGATGGGACGTTGTCTGTTTTTGGGCAAATTATTTCTTGGCCTTTTTTCAGTCCCCGAACCGACTGCAAGCCTTCTTCCACTTGCACTGTGTGCACCACTGATCCTTGTGCTCCATTCCGTACACCTTCCGGCACTTCTTGTTCTCGCCGCGCGTGCGCCGATTCGGCGACAGTGGCGATCGGTGAGCGGCGGGCGCATTGTGAGCCACCACAGCGCCCTGATTCACGGGCATGTAGATGTTCACGTTGTGCTGCACCGCCGTGATGGCGTTCGTGTATGTCGGCGACGGGTAGGGAGCGTACGACGTGGACGGACGCGGCGACAGTCGGACGTGCTTCTGCGGTGATGCCTGATCGATGCGAAAGAGACGAGAAAATGCATAAAAACCCACCCTTGTCCACAAGATTTCTCAAAGCAATATATAACCCAAGAGGCGGAGGAAAATGCCTTTCAATCATTTGACAATGAATTGCCAGCAAATTTCCCCGCACAAACACACGCCATCGATACTCCAAAAGACAACCTCAATTAATTTGCCGGCTCAGATTTCTGGCGTTTATAACCTTCTGGTGAAGTAATGAGAGCCGAATAAAATGTGGGCTCATCTATTCATTGATGAAAATGATAACACACACACGTCTTTAATTCTTTCAAGCCTTGACCAAGTATTTTCGCAAGAGCCACGAAAAGTGAAACATTGAATTTCAAATAAATCCCCTTCGCTCATCTCCACAATTCATGGCCTAATCGCGCGCGCGCTTGGGAGAATTGGACTCTCTCGCGCGCATTGTGGGCCTTTTTCAGGGCTCATGACAAATCACTGGTAGATTTGTTGGATGGCAATTTGGCCACAGTTGGAGATTAATTGCTTCGCGGCGCCAAAAATAGAGGGAATCAACAGGTGCTCTCGCGGCTCCAATCGAGGCTTTGGAGTATCTCTGGCTGGTGTGTCTCTTGAGATGAAAGCGCGTATAGTAAGAGAAAGGGTTCACCACCTTGGGGAGTGATCGACTCACCGGACTCTGCTGGTGAGACCACGAGTAGTTGTGCTGTGGCAGAATCGCGTTGGGAATACTGATGGGTCCGGCATGGCCGATGGGAAGCGGTGGCTTTACTGGAGTCTGCTGCAGGGACAGGAATCCTTGTCTGTCGAGTGAAATTGCACGAGATCATGGACTGAATCTTTCGATAGCCAAAGAGAGAGTAAAAAAAAAGCCTTGGACAGTGACTCACCTGAAGCTGCCCACGATTTGGCGCTGATACTCTGGATCTTCATGTGGCGGTCTTGCCATATCGCGATGACTGAGCGTGGGCGGCGAAGGTGGACTGGGAGCAGCGGTATCTTCCTCGTCCTCCAGCTCTGTGTAGTAGAACTCCTCCTCGTGATCACTGTCGCTGAAGGTGCCATCGTCGTCCAACGATTGACGTGGCTTCTTTGGCCTGCAAGAAGAGTGCGGCGACACAGCAGAAATTAGTAACCCGGCAAATGCAGCATCCCAGCAATTCTCAACTCCCTAATAGGTGCCATTTACCACGAGAGGATACAATCTCAGCGCTCAAGCGACCACTTCTTGTCATGACTCGGTGGCTTGTTTATGCTCTGCCCATGATCGCGATCTCTAGCTCTGGCACTATTGCCTGTACTCACACAACGTTCACAGTTCTTCTTCTGCGCGCGCTGCCCAAGAAAGCCCCACACAATTCCTCCTCCTCATCTCTCTATAGACCATACAAAATGAGCAGGAACGGGAGAAGGGAAAATGTACACACACGACTTGAGATGACATGCACAACGGCACCAGCGAGGAGATGGAGCAAGAAGAAAAATAAAAGTAATTCCCACATACCGTTATCAAGTTCTCTTTCAACTTCTAACTTTCTTCAACTGTGCTTTTTTGCGCGCCTCACCATCGCAACTTGCGTGTGTTACTTTTCATTTTTTTCTTGAGAGCTGCAGAACACCCAACAGGAGAAATCAATCCCAATTAACCGCCGGGAAGACATAGATTTATGGGCATCTTTGTTGGGATTTTCCAACACGAAACGCGCAATTGAAAGAGAATTTTCACATTCTCTGGCCTTCAGGACTTCCCAAAAGTTATAAAACGTATTATCTAGCCATTAATATTTTATCTAATGCTGTAAATTTTCCTTGTTCATTGTCAACACTTTAATTTGACATCTCAATATTAGTTTTTAAAATGCTTAATGCTTATTTTCAAAGACTGAATTCCGTTCAAGCAGTAACTTCTTCCGTGGCGAATAAAATCCTGCTCCAGAATTACATGAAAATACATTATGTGCAATGGTTTGACCTATATTCTTCCTTCAAATGCCAAGATGCTGAAGTGGATGAAAAACTTTTCGTGAAATTTTCGCTTAAATATTCCCACTTTTGGTCTGAGTTTCTGACTGGTTGAAAAGTACTTTGCCTTTGACCTCTTCCGTCATCCTAGAGATAATTAAGCCTCTGGTGGTTGTAAAAGTGGAGCAGAGAAAAAGTCACAAGATTTATGACCTGTTTGAATTAAGATTCTCTCGAAAATCAACCTCAAAATAGATCTCTAAATTGAGGTGAAAGAGATTTTTTTTTAAACATCTCAGAGGGTGACCCGAAAAGGCCTTCCAGTTGACCATAGAAGTCAAAATAGTGTGTGAGTGAGAGAGCCAGCCAATGAGGAATTGAGGAGCCCATTTGAGGGTCAATATCGATTGAATATGTACACCGTGAAAGAGGATAGAACTGTGTCAAGGCACAATAAATATTCCATGTCTCTCCGCCACTCGCAGACTCAGTAACAATCAACTATGCAAATCCTATTCCCAGGCTGCATAATCGAGAATTAATATATATGCTGTGCTATCTCAATGATAAATCGCACACATTTTCAGCTCTCTGTCCCAAGTGCAGAGTCACACCGCGACGTCCAATACTGCTCAGTGACCAGCAGGAGAGTGAAGAGACAAAGAGTCTCATTTGCAAAGGTGTGCTTCGCGACTCTGAGATAATGCCCCAGCAAACAGGATCCTTTTAAATGCAAATCCAAACGACAAGCGCGCATCAATTCTCGCAGTCGGAGCGCCACACCGGTGCCTCGCGATATTGCCTTGATTATTCAATTTCGATTTGTTATATTGTGAAACGATGATCCGACAAAAGTAACAGGTTCTCTCACTTTACAGTTACAATCGCGAGACCCATCGAAACTTCTTTATTTTCACCATATTTTACTTCTTTTTTCCCCGTCCGTGTCTTTTTTCTGTTTACCTTCCTCGGATGTCTCACCACTGGACACACTTTAAACGACGATCGTCTTCCTCCACTTGCGATACGTGTTTTGTTTGTCTTCTGTGACATGTAAATTGCTGAAGATCAATTGCGCTTTGATTTGCAGTGATTAAAGAACATTTTCTCAAAAGCTCAAGGCTTTCATTTGCTGTCTTCATAAAAGCTTCATAGAGAGAAACCTTCGCAAACAAGTTGACAAAGAATTATAAATATCCCAAAATATACTCTCGCAATGAAAGTGCAATGTTTGTCAGAGAGAAAATCCGCTTCCGCAAAAAAAAATCAATGGATTTAAATTGCACTTAAATAAACGGCGAAAAATCTCATGGCGCCAGCAAAAAAATGGAAATCCAATTGATGGAGTCATGGTGTGTTTAAAAAATGTCAAAATGCTTTGGAAAAGACATAAAAATACCTGATGAAATTCAACAGAGTGAGAGAGAGAGAGAGCAATTTATTCACTTCATGCAGCGAGAAAGTCTCGAGAAAACAGCAAAGAAAATGCCATCAAATATATTTTGTATGTAAATTTTCGTCACGTTAGTAATAATTTTTCGGTGTGAAATGCCAAGGGGAGGTCAAATGGTCTTTTTCACGTCAATTTTTGCGAGAAAGATGATATTTAAAGGAACGGTGAAGATTTTTGTAGTCCATAAGAAAAATATCATATTTTGAATATCAATTTTGTTAACCTTTGCAGACATTTTTAATGCTTTATTGCAAAACCAAACAACTAACCTTAGGACGTGAGTTATATCATATCACGTGACGGAGCATTTGAAACCTATAATTTTAATTAAAATCAACCCATTTCTTTGAGCTTTTACAACTCAAGTCACTAATATTCATGAGACTAAGAAAACATGAATACAATTTCTCCAAATGACTTGACAAATTCTCTTTCTGCCCTTGAAAGATGATTCACAATTCAAAATGTTCAGTCATCATCCCTTTGTTGAGTCACTGCCACTTTCCCCTGGAAAACTTTTGGGAAAACCGCTTAGGAATAAGAAAAACAGGAATGGTCGAGCTTCGGCTTGAGAACTCTTGGGCCGCGAAAAAGGTCACTGGGTCATGTGAAGGGTTGCAGCAATTCTGAGCGATCACTTGTGGTACAATGTTGAGGTTGCAAATGACATGTTGGCCACTTACCCTAAATGTGCATTGCGAATGTGTGCTTCAATCTGGGACACTGTTGAGTGGATGACGTTGCATCCCTTCCAAACACACTTGAACAGCGGTCCATTTGCCTGCAAATAGAGAAAGAGGACACTTTCAGTTTGAAGCCCTGACAAATCCATTTGGAGTGTTCCATTTCCCAGGTGCCATTTTAGCTTACGGCCCGTGATTTTCATCTGCATTTTCTCACACCATTCATCATCAATGTGCATCCGATTTGACCCACTTTTGCATATGCGCTCGCACAGTTCGGCGGAGTGAAATTGGGTCGACAAATTATATCACCCTCCACCCGATGCTCCACCGTGCGTTCCGCCTTGAAAATGTAGGTCAACGCCATTCTACATCGCCCGTGGAGACATTCAATCACGCCAGGGGTTGATTATAGCATAGCTCAATTTTTGCCACCCAAAAAGCCCAGAATGATTTGAAAAAATGGCAGATCTAGGCTAGATCTCGCCTTCAGAACCACATTAAATACACTTGGATGGTGATAACGATAAAACACACCTCCATCTGTCCCATTCTCACCCGGTTCTTCCCTTCCCGGAGGCCTCGTGCTCTTCACCGTCTCTAGGGAAGCACTCTACATACATATGTGTACAAGCAGATAGAAATTGGGGCAGGAGCATTTTGCCGAAAGCGCGCACAAGCATCTCTCTCGCATTTCCCGACCTCATTTCGCACCATTTTCTGTGTCGTCGATCAATAAATGCCCCGAATCATTCCCCATCACTGTCCCATCACATTTTAATTGGCAAATCGATGAACATCCCGGCAGAAGCACTTCCGTCAGCTCAAAAACTGTCGACACATCGCCGAAAAATGCCATTTATCGAAGGAGTATAGCGAACACTCAGCGGTTGTGTTTCCCATCTTCCCGGAACAATTTTCCCACAAGGCAATACACGCCAAGCTCAGCATCTCGGTGACCTACTTTTGCGCCTTCTTTTTTTTCCTGGGGAGCTTTCTGAGGGCCATCGGCTGTGGATGGAGTAGGAAGTTCGAGGGAATTATCGGTATTCAATGAGCTTTCCTCCTGTTTATCTTTCAATCAAATTCCAATAAACTCTCCGGCTATGCCAGGAGTTTCGCAAGATTTTCCGGGATATTTCGCTAAGCTGGCGAATCACTTGAGGGGATTTCAGTGACAATAAAATTTAATTTATCAAACAGAGATGCTCTCTCTCGATTGACAATCATGTTAGAATATTGTTTCATTGACAAAATGATGTTGTATTTTTCATCAATAGACCTCAAAAGACATCACAATTGAGGACACAAAGTTTATTTAGAAGATTAGAGAGACAAAGAAACTTTTTAGATGATTCATGCTTTCATGAGCGAGAAGAAGGGCTCAACACAGTTATCAATCTTTCCTTATCTGTATATTGTGGAAAATATTCCAAAAGGAGCAACACAATCAGAAGCGTCAGCAAATATTTGGAAAATGTATACCAAAAACTCTCTCATCTACAATCTAGAGTCTCTCTCTCCAACTTCACAATCTGTGATATTTTTCCAGCAAGTCTCTCGTGAGCTTGACACATAAATTCACATATGAAACATAAAAGGTTTCCAGCATGGAAAATGTCGGTCATCGATGATGGCGAATAATGACTTTTTCAGTTTGTTCTTGAGAGATAAAGTGCAACAAAGACATCAATTCAAATAAATTGAGGTAATTGTCAATTCTAGTTCGCGGCGCACGATGGGAAACTGTGACCACAGACAATTTCAAACGACATTCCATATGTTGCAAGAGGCCAAATGGGATTCTTTGCTCTGAGGGAGAATTTCGCAATTTAGCACTAAATCGCAGGGAATTATGAAATGCCGGCCGGCTTGGCTATATTTACCTTCATGCCACTCTACTTAATCACTCACACTCTGTGTGAGCATCTTCGCACGAGACGCCATTGTGAGAGTCACCATGGTGGATTAATTTGTTGGAAAGTGCGGCGTTTAGCAACAGAACTATAATATGTCATATTTTTATTCAGCGACACTCTGACCTACATTCCACCAGCGCCCGAGCTAGGTCAGAGGGAGGCGAAATGGAGCAACCCGGATCGCTCCGCGGTGGCACATTGTGTACAAAATCATGAGGCCAAACCCCAAAACCGTGCACATGGGCCCAAAGTAAATACTGAGTAAATATTGGCGAATCTAGAACATGCCCCAAATGCACTGTTTTTCGCTCCAATGCTGCACCGCGCGCGCTCTTGTTTGCTCACGCCGATATGGCAATATTTCCTCCGCCACAGAAGTAATATATACCAGTACACGAGGCACAGAGGATAAAACCCAGGGATGAAGCTGTCCCACATTGACGATAGGATGTCATGTGTCCAGCAATAAAATAGTGATTTAAGGGCAAACATCAGACTCAATGTAGGTCACACGAAATTTTACCCGCCCAGAGAAGGCGAAAAAAAGTGGTATTTAGGCACCCAAGAAGCCCACTGAGGACAGTAATAGCAGTCATGAGTGATTCAAGTGACAGAAAAATTAACTAAGAATTTAGCAGAAACATCTTAGGCAATTAGTGTGAGAAATAGATGAGAATAAATCACTTTATCTCACTTTGCGCGTCTCTAAACTCTTGAATATCTCGTCACTGGGTTTTGTTTAATTGGGTCTAAAAGTCAACATAAATTTATGTCGCACACGCCCAAAGTGCACAAATTTGAGATAGACGCAAATTCGCTATGACACAGCGAGAGGGTGTAGAATTTATCAAAAAAAAAAACATGACCTTTATTCAGAGAATTCAACAAATGCATCCTTTCGGGAAATTCACTGCACAGCCAGTGGTTTGGCCCGGACATTCAATTCTGCGGCGCTCTTTCTGCAATTCACAGTGAATGATCACACTGCAGCATTGTTTGAGAAATGACTCCACTTTCCGGGAAGCCAAAAGCAATTCAGCCCCAATTCCACTAATAGCTTCCATGTTCGTTTTCACCGGAAAGAAAACCCTGGGAGAAAAAAAACTACCATTTATTGTCAATGTGTGACGACGGGAAATTCCTGTGAAAAAGCTAAGCGGCCCTCGAATTCGAGGGAATTTAATTATCACTCATAGTTGGAAAAAAAAAGTTGGAAAACCCATTGAATCAGGGGTGCAAATTTAAATGGGAGAAATGCTTCATTACTGCCGCCGCACAGGTCGATGCGGGATGTATATAGGACATCTATGTAGGAGCTTTCGTACATAACGCGAGAGCTTCGCGGGCTTAGAAATTGGGTCACAGGAATTGGGGAAGCTCTTAACCTACTTTTCGGCTTGAACTCGACATCGGATAGGTTGCCGGTGCGCTTTTGCGCACTTGTCCAGGTTCGCTCCATCGCTCCATTGTGGCCCATTTTGCCCAGCACAGGCACAGGATCGAGCAGGAGAGACTTCTCGGCATCCAGAAAGTAAATAGATCAGGATGAAATGTGTGCCCTTCCTGCCAATTCTTCTCTCCTTCTCTTTCTCCCTCCCTGAATGGATTCTGTGAGCCTCGCATAAACACTCTTGATGCGGGAGAAGGGTGGCCGGGACACCGGGAAATGGTGTGGTTTCGTTTCATTTCGATGACCTATTTCACAAGATTTATGTTACTTCATCTCTTTGCTCCCCCATTCGACTCTTTTTCCCGGCCCTCACAAATACCCAACTCATATTTCCCGCGCTCGCGATAACGCTTCATTGTTTCCGCCTCTCTATTATCTCCAAACATGGCCTCAAATTGAGATTAATTCCCATCACAGAGCCAACAGTCACACACTGAAAGCTCAACTTTCCGCGTCACGCTCAGTAAAGTGGTGGAAAATAAATTATAGGGTTAGAAATGGCCACCGCCAGAAGGTTAGCCAGGAATAAAACAGAGGGAAGATATTCTCATGATCGTGAAACGCGGTCAGAAATCCAGGTGCGAGGCAATTCTCCCCGTTATCGCACACCCTCTGAGCACGCTAATGAAGAATGATGGTGAGGGTGGCTTTCTCCTTGGTGGAGGGACAAAAAACACACACAAATTGCCGGCTTTTCGCCTTGGCAACCCCACTCTTGGGCTTTCCAACATTAGAGGCCACCCTGCACATTTGACCTACTTTTCTCACCAACACACTGACGCCGAAGGACAAGCGCGCTTTGTTTGGCCTCAACACATTCGCACACCGAAAGCTCCGAAGGCTTCGCGATTTCCATGTCGGGGTCAAACAGCCACACACACACGCGCACACGCACGCACATCGCGAAGCCGGGGGATGCTCACCCATACAGCAGAAGCAATTGCGCATCGGAAAAGCGCGGGCTCTCCTTTGTTGCGAAGCATTCGGATGGGATTTATTGACGTCACACCGAGTGAAACCGAAAGGAGAGCATGTCGCCGTCGGGCGACATCGGAATCGATGCCTTGCTCATGACACATTTTTGGCAATAAAATCAAAATAAATTGTGACGTCATTTTCATTTTGTCACAAAAAGCCACCATCAAGGTGACGATGAGGCGGTTGCGAAGCTCTTCCGGACAGTCGACACATCTCGCGGGACACAATCTAGGACAAGGTGACCGAACTGGGGGTTGACTGCCCATGGGCAGCACACGAAAAGGCCAAAATGAATGTTTGATCGAGGGAGAAGTGATGTTCTGAGGGTGTTCTAATTTGTACTTCCAGAGGAAATGGTTTCGAGAGAGAAGAAAACTGTCTTGGCGCTAAAAGATAAAGTTTCAAATTAGGTCAGTCATCTGGCGCAAAATTTCATCAAAAGAAACTTTGTAACACAAACTGAAAAAGATATGCAGTGCATATCAATTACTTTTAATATGATTAGATTATGTAAATAAAAGTTTTCATGGAAAAACTGCATCTTTTCTCAGAAAGAAAGAACGTCGTCAAGTGTCTTCGAGGTCAGTCTCAGAGAATTCCTCAAGGGCTCCTGCTTTCAAGAAGGCTCCGTCGAGAGTCATCCATTTGTTTGTTTATCCTTGCGTCCCTGACTTGGGGTGTTTTCCCACCGCGTCACAGTGAGCAGTGGAAATGGACTTCCCCAGGTCTCAACTCACTGCCCATGAGAATT